GGGGGACCTGGGTTCCAAACACACTGTTAGATTTTTCAAAATATAATTTTGACATGCAATAATCTTTCCCGTAAATAACTGCATTAATTTGTCGTCTTAAAAAATAAAGATATAAAAGTGTGCGATAAAATGTGTACCTCTATCAAAGCACGAGATGTATGATTGTTAGGGAAGACGTGAAATGGAAACACTTTGTGTTGTCTTCGCCCTAAATGAACGGGGCACGCGCACTGCATTATGGTGCCTCTGACCAAATCACCCAGAATGTGGTCAATCTCATCACATCTCAAACGCTAAGCTGATTCGAGCCTGGATGATGCTTAGATTGGGTGACCACCACGCACACCAGACTGTCATCGGCAGCTTCGGAGCTGTGCCACATGGTGGCCAACAGAGGGAATTGCATAAACATCAATTGTATCATTATTTCTATGCTCCCACATCGATGCTCCCTGCCTTCGACCCGTATCGACTGCTGTATGTATGTTGAACTTCTTTCGCACCATACGTAGCCAACCAGTGTGGTGAAGTATTAACAAATGATCGCCCGACCTGCATGGCATGAGGCTCTCATCCAGCCGTGCTTTGAATTGGGGCTGTAACCACAACAAAACAACTATCATAGGTGATTGTCATACTGCGCTGTATTATTACAAGTATGAAATGATGGATCGATTATGTTATTGATAATGAAGGTAGGATCGTGATGAAGTGAACCACACTGCCGATATTGCTTTGCGGTGTCCCACCGAGTTTGAGCTCTTTCTCCCACCAGCGTCGTCCGCGCACAGCATCGTTGCTGTGCGCGGACGACGCTGGTGAAGAAAACTCAGCGAAAAAGATTCGAAGACGGAGCAATGGCAGTGTTGCAGAGAAGCTTTCATCCAACGGTACATAGACCAGGGCTGAGGCTCTAACTTATTCGTTCCACATCCTTCCCCAATCGATATATTCCCAACATCCATCTTAGCATTCTCATCTGCCCTTTCAAGTGCTCCTTTTGATTTCTTCCTTTGAGTCCATATCTGTCTCTGCAACACAGAACACCTGCTCAAGGGGAGCCTACTGGTACAAAGCATGGTGGATCTATTTAGGACATTGAATTTTGTTTTCCATAGTCAAAAGCAAAATACTATTTGTCAATTCAGTCCTTTAAATCGTTTCAGGAAATACAACAATGTAAACTCCTTGAATATCAGTCAGAATGGCAATTGCCTGAAATTTCTCAGGCAGTCCGCATATTATTTTCAGCCAGTGTAACCGAATTTTGAGTTCTCAAAACTTCCTGAAGCATTTTAGGTTATTTACCTAAATAGTTTTTTTCGGTAAATGACATACTGTAGCATATATGGATGAGGTGGACGTTGGATATTCTGATCCATATGTTCGTGTGAATTTTCAGTACTGAATGCTGTCCAGTAGAGGTGTACTGGATGTTGTACCTTTCAACGGATTGGAAATCGTCAATAATTTTACTCAGAAATGTGTTGGTGAGAAATTGTATGTTTTTACCCTCTCTTTGCACACAGGTTATAGAGACCTGTGGATTTGTGTAATTTTCTTTTAGGTGGGTGCAGTAGTAAAAACCCGCCATACTTGTAGTTGTTATACAGTCATATGTATGATTATAATGTTATTAATGCATGGAAACGCTAATAGGAGTGTGAGAAGTAAGTTTATGCTTTTAAATGTTTCGATGTATGTGACTGGGCACACTAGATGCAAGTGTTGATGAGAATTACTTTTCTGTTGGAATGTCTCTTCGCTTTTAATATTATTTCCTAAATGCAAAAGTTAAAAATTTGGTCTTCATTATGATGCATGTAATACTAATGCTATTAGCCCATGACTATTACATGAATGTGACATCAACATGAATTATACTTTGGAAATCAACATTTTAGAAAAAAGGTATTACAACGTTTAAGCATGGGCATGTTTAACTGAGTGTAAAACGCTTAGCGTGCTGCTGTTCACATGGCTCTGCTGACGTGTTCATATTAAACACTTTGTTCTCACGGACCGCGTTTTTCAGATCCTTGCATCCCGCCTAACCACCACAGATGCTTCATTAATATTTAATGCCGTGCACTTGCAACCTGTTGTGCGTAACACTAGAGCCTACCTGTGACACCAAATCTGTGCTGTCTAAATCTGAATTCTATCTAAAACCGCGCCCTTTGATTTTTTTGATATAAGCAATGAATAATAAAAATGTTGTTTCCATTCATTCCGATCTCAATGTCATCTGATGTTCTCTGTTCATTCAGTCGGAGCAAGGAGTCTGCGTTTGTCAGTGGATCATATTTTTTGCAGTCCAAATCAATTTTACACCTTGCAGATGGTGATGAACTTTGCATTTAACTTCACCTGATTTCGCAATTTTAACTTGTCCTGTTTTCATCGGTTATCCTGAAATATGGCTGGTCCAATAAATGTTTTGCTCCATATAATATTGCAGTATTTGCTATTAATTGTAATGGAGTGTTATGTATTACTTCTGCGAAGCTGAATTCTTACCTTTGGGGAATTTTCCACTTGCAGATAGCGAGTAACTTTTTGCATACGTGCTCCTGTTGCTTAAATGGCACTGCCGATTAAAAAAATCAGACCTTATCTTGCTTCATCTCCCTCTTTGTTACCGCATCACACACCTCTTCTGAAAATATTTTAATACTTCATTTGAATCGCTATCTTTACAACTTTAACCATTGTGCCGCAACTTCCACCCATGTTTTTCACCTAAAAATACAAGCATAACATACACATGCATTCACACAATTGTCCTCCTGTAACACCGAACTTATTCATGTTCGCCATGAAGTGTTTGTCCTAGCGCGTTTAGTCACTCTGCAAGCTACTTTAATGATGCCGGCAGGGACGTTCACCTGAGTGAGTTTGCAAGCACTATAACCTTGTGCTTCCCATCTGTTTATGCTCACAAAAAAGCACCTCAGTGGCATTAGGTTTCAAAGTGATCATGCTGTGAAATCACTTGTCCTGAATGGCTGTGCATCTGCTCTAAAGTTTTACGTACATATTGTCGGTATTAGTTATCAGGTACAGTATATAAAATATGCATGTGACCAAACTATATCTGAAAATATTTCAATAACCATCGTCAGCCATCTCCTGTTTTCCACATGCGTGTAGAGACACATCTATAGAATGTGATAAAAACTTGTAAAAGTTTTAAACAATTCTTCCTTATGCCTCGCCCGTGTGCAGCTTTGTTAAAACACATTACGTTTACAAATTCACAACAGATCTTCGAGTGCTGCATCAATGCCGCGACCTGCATTGGTTGTACGTGCTGATCCACAGAGAACTATCCAATAATCATGTAATCGTATGTGTGTCTATTCCTGCTGCTTGTGATTAACAAGAGGACGCTATCATCCCCCACGTAAGGCGGTCTGGCACAGCATGCGGTCAACGTTAGCACTCCACCAACACTGCCCGACAGGGCCGTGGGAGCCAACCAACTTAATGTTACCAATAGTATGCGTTATTGTTCATTTGCAGTAATAATGTCAACCGACTGCTGGAAGAGGGGCTCTATTCAGTCAAAAGGAGGTTTCTGTTTTACCAACTTCACCACGCTGGTCTGTGCGAGTTAGCCAAGGACAGCGGGGAGGCCAGGCACATTCAGGTATCAAATCGCCACTGATGTTAGCCGTGGCCGGGCTTTGAACTCAGCTCGCTGGTTTCATAGTGAAATATTCTAACCGCTGCTATATATATATAACGCATTGCATTGAAATGTGATGTGCGTAGTGTTGATCACTTGTGTAAGTTACTCCAGCAGCTCTGTTACCGCACGATAGTTGTTGCTATGTTTGATCTTCGAAAATATTAAATAAGCTTATTGAATATATCCTCAAATATTGACAACATATTAAATAACTTAATGTCCTTAATTTTCGACATTTTTAATACTTGAGGAATTGAAAATATTATGTTCGTTACGTAAAATAATCGATCAATCGTCTTTGATTATTGACAATATTAAATTGTTTCACAATCGAAGCGACATCAAACAAAGTTATTCAACATGTTCAATTACCAAACGTATATAAATATCCTGTACTTAAATGTTGTCCATTTTCAACTGCTTGTGCGTACTGAATAAATAAAACATGATGCACTGCTATGTTATGTGTTCAATTCTGCTTGGATAGTTTGTGCGATGCATTGCTGTGGTCTGGTAGCCAGAAGCCACCTTCCCTTCACAAATCAGAATACCATCTTCGTAGACGCACACTGAAGCTGAATTCGGCCTTGTCAGTGGTTGAAATAAACTTTCATATTGTGTAGTGCAATAAATGTAAACATTGTTTGCTTGTGATTGCTTCATTATTTAATGGGTTTTCCAGATAATGAGGCTGAGTCGACCTAGGGGCAGTCCAGGAACTTTTCAGATTATCGTCACTGTTTGCGGCTGGGTTTGCAGCACAGCGCACTAATCACCACACACGCGCACGCTCAGATACGCTTGCATTCGCGATGTGTAAACATCGCCACTGGGGAGACAAAGGTGGTCGGGCGTGGTGCTGGCCACCCACCCCCTCGTGTGGTGTCTCGGCCTTTGTAGTTGCTCGATAACATCACTTGTCCGAACAGTCTGTTTAGGGTAAACGGGTGATCTTGTGCGTGTGCGAGTGAGTGCCAGGGTGCATGGGGAGCGGTAGCGCAGCGGTTAGCGCACTGCGCTATGAACCTGGCGACCCGCTAACGGTCAACACCAGTGACAATTATCCGAATAGGTCCTGGGCCTCCCCTGGGTCGACTCGGCCTCAAATTAGTATCCGGTGCCGTTTATAAAATATCGCCACTGGGGAGACAAAGGCGGCCAGGCGTGGTGCCGGTGACCCACCGCCTCGTGCGCGGTGCATGCCTTCATTCGGTGCTCACTAACAGCACTTGCCCGAACAGTCTGTTCCAAGCTATACGGGGGATCTTTGTCTCTCTCTCTGTGCGCGTGTGTGTGTGTGTGTGTCAGAGAGAGATAGAGTGCGCGTGTATGTGCCCGTGCGTGCGAGTGCCCCCGTGTGCGTGAGCGCGCGCGTGGAGCCGATCCCTATAAGAGGCGCCGCCGCTCTCCGCCTGCTCGCACACCAAGTCCGGCAGAGCTCTTCGCGCCGGCAAGCAGCCAGGGTCCTCCTCCTGCACGTGAGACGCAACACTCCTCCGCCGACACAGTCGCACTCACCGGACGCTGCACTACGGCAACCTCGGCGCTCGACTTTGCACCTGCTCTCGAAACGCCTCTCGAGCAGCGTCAATTCGCAATTTCGCATTCATCGAGTTTGGCGCCGCGCTTTGGGCAATCGGCAGCAGGCATGGCCGTGTACCTCGCCCTGTGTCTCGGCGCGCTCTGGGCGCGACCCATCGCCGGCGGACCCCCGCACCCCAACGCCATCAAGGGTCTCGGGACCCCCGACGGGGTCGCCGCTTCTCTACGGCCCGGCACTTTCCCCGGGCAGCAGCAGCAGGCGAAGAACCACGCGGCCGACGAGACTCACGTGAGCTCACCCGTTTCCTCCTCCTCCTCATCATCATCATCATCATCCTCGTCCTCCTCATCATCTTCATCCTCGTGCTGCTCGCGTTGCGCGTGGATCTGTGTCACAGTCGCAGCAATGTTGCTGGTGCACGTGTTCGTTCAGTCACATCCATGTTGCTGGTGCACGTGTTCGTTCAGTCACATCCATTCGCAACTTACTCGCTGCTGTCTTACCTGCATTCCACGCTGTTGTCTGACACCACACACGGGGATCATACGAGGATTTTATGCAATTGTGAGCGTCTGATATGACGAATTTCAGATAAGACTGCGTAACAGGCATCGGAGTGCATGGCACGAGTTGCTTTTTTGCAACCATCGATTTAGAAATTCACTGAAGGGAGCTGCGCCAAATACTTGCGGCCACATTTATTTTCGTCCACATAGCAAATGTACAAGTCCTAGCAGAAACATGTGTAATCATTGAGAGTAATGAATCAGGCAACATTACAGTAGAACTCCTCTCATCAACAACTGTAGGTGGGGGGGGGTGTCGTAGGTAAGTGAATTTGCGGTTAAATTGAGTATTTTTAATATCTCCTATCCACAATAAAAAAAAAACATCCGTCCACAAAATAACTCTCAGAAGTCTTCGCAAATAGGAAAGTGCAGTCGTGCAGTCAGTGGCATATTATACTCTTTGGTTCTATTCGGTAAAGTCACGTAGGTAAAAAAAAATCACGTGACTTTACCGAATAGAACCAAAGAGTATTGGTCCTTGCAGTCACGAAAGCTTCAAATCTAGAACAGTGGCATGTTGTTTTTGTACCTCTCAGCTACGACGAAAATTATACCCTCAGTCATCACCATCTCCATGGGTATCACGATGGATCGATGAATCAAATGAGAGTTGATTCATCGAATGGCACCGCGGCCCTGAATCTCGACAAATGTATAACGTGACCGGCAATGAGGAGATGTCAATTGTTTCACCCACACATCATCATCATCATGAGTCGTCGTCGTCACCATCCCATAGCTCTGGGAAGTCAGCGTCCGTCTTCTCCTCGTTCTTGTGCGGTACACGATACGATGCAATACGGGAGATTAGTTTCGAGACGTAGGCTCACTTGCCTCGTGCTCGCAGGGCGCTCTGCGTCAGTTTGGCCTTGGCCACCGCATTTTTCACCACTCGATACGAGTCACGTCCACGATGTGACGATTATCGCGATATCGGTCTCCTTTAACTGTTTTTTTTATTGCAATTCAACATTTGCGTTGTCGTGCCTTGTTTGCATTGGTTCCTCGATGCACTTACAAGTACCAATACTGTACTGATTCCTTGAACGTCATTCAACCGCGGTTCACTCGACACAAGCCGAATCATTGCAACTTTACAAGTTATACCGCCTGTAAGAATAAGGTGAAGCCGTATGTACTCACCATGGCATACATTTATCCGGAAACGCTTCACATGCACACATGATTGAGAAATGTATCGTTTCATAAAAAAAAAAATTGGTCAAGTACGATATTTAAAAAACAACAACCTGATATCGTTATCGTGGATATCGTAGAACAGATGTTGCATCGCGAGATCACGGCAACCCGCGTCGAGCCATGTGCGTGATCGTTATCACGGTCACTGTCATTTATCAAGCGACAGTGGCAGATATGATTCGTGACAAAGACGGCAATAGTCATCCATAGTCATCATCTGTTATCTGCGAACACTTGTGGAAGTGAGCACTTCGCTGTCCGCAGCTTTGTACGATCAGCGACGTCTGCAGATAACCGGGTGAATTTAGCGCCCACCCCACAGCTCCCTATCATGCCGGTTCCTCTCATCTTCTAAAGTCTTCATCATAATTGAGGATAACAGGAAGAGCATTCCTGCGAGTGACGGGAAGAATCCTATGTTTGTGTGAGCTCACGCACATGAAGAGCCACGGGTATCGAGCCGTAAAATAATAGGCGTTTCCCCGTTCGTTGATATCAGCAACGATGTTTTGTCCTAGGCGACCATGAGTTAAGGAATTTAAGGGTTAGCTATTCTACCAACAATATGTGGTTTACGCATTGCATTTTGAATATCGTGACTTAATTTTGATATCCAGTCGGCCAACATCAGTTGCTGAGTGATATTTAAACCGGTTTCAGTCCTCCTCCCACCCCCAACGCACCTTCACCAATCCCCACTCACGAGAGTGGGTGAAGAATGTATATTTAAAAAAAACCGCATGAATATATTAATCCAGCAGTGGATTTACTGAGGGCTGTAGCATATTCAATGCATGCAGGATTTCCCAATCCACTGCAACTCGGCACCAGTCGACCGGCAGGTCGCATGTGGTGGAGTAAATACTCTTTGGTTCTATTCGGTAAAGTCACGTAGGTAGAAAATAAAACAACAAAAATCACGACGTTTCGGCCACAACACAAGCGGCCTTCATCAGGTGAAGGGACCAGACTGTCTCGAAGACTGCGTTGGAGTGACTGTCTCGCAGTCTTCAAGACAGTCTGGTCCCTTCACCTGATGAAGGCCGCTTGTGTTGTGGCCGAAACGTCGTGATTTTTGTTGTTTTATTTTTTACCTACGTGACTTTACCGAATAGAACCAAAGTGTATGGATCCTTGCAGTCACGAAAGCTTCAAATCTAGAATTGGTGGAGTAAAGTTTGGGTACTCGCACATCTTTGCATGACATCTGACCAGCGTGGTAGGGTAGGTCAAATACCCACTAGAGGTGACTCTTGAGCTCCCTGGAGTGCAAGGTCCTCTCTGCAGCAGTGGCGTGGGGCGAGTAATCGCAGTCCCTGCACCTTTACCTATTGATAACAAGCTGGCACTATTTTATTAATCACTTAATTCAACGTAAGAACAAAGCTGTCAACCCCGTAAGTGGAACTATTTCTTTGTCGGCAACATTTAGCTGTGCATCAACCATTCCATCGGAATGCGATCTAATTTGACTTTTTTTATCAAACAAAAATCGAAATCTGATCATAAGATTGGATCAACCATGCATGGATCAAAATTTGACCTGAAGAGGATTGGGTCACGTCTTAATGGGCTTATGAGATTAAAAAAAAAATTATATTGTCACATATCTGTTTGTTAACTTAAGTATTTTTACTATTTCAGTATTTTTCATACCATTAAAATGTAACTCCACAATCTAAAAAGGCAGTGTGAGTGATAGATTGGAACCCTCCGCTATCAGTCGATTCACCGTTAACAGGGGCCGTCGATTTGTTGGAAACGAAGCAAGCAGTGGCGGTTGGTTCAAAGTTTTGGTGGGGGCAGTGAACGGGGATGAGAGTGGCATTGCCCGAGTGTGAATCTATGGACTCGAGTGGTGTGAATGTGTTGGATTAACGTGCGTGAATTCATAAACATGACAGGGATGGGGCTGAGATGACACGGTGCACTTGTTAGTTGGGTTATGTAGAGGAAACAAGTCACGGCGTTATGGGGGTGGAGGCGATGTGGCCCAGGGGATAGAAAATGACGTGGATTTAACACAGCAATAATGTGGCTTTGAATCCCGAGTTCAAAATTTCATAGTAAAATTTTTAACATTTAAAAACAACTTTTAATATGTTCACACTCAACAATTTAAATGCCATTAGCATGATTAAATACGTGTTTATACTGTAAAAAGATTACCACAGAAATTGTCTATAACTCGTCTTCTGTCAAGCGAGGCCCCCTAGTGATCAATCTCCCTGGGCTACAGTGTATCTCAACTGAGCCACACCATTGTAAACTGAAGTACCGTGCTTTGAGTACATTAAATATGAATTGACAATTGGATTATTTTAAGAAAATAAAGTTTGTACTCGTTGTGATACATAACGTGGTGCAACAGTGGTAAGTACTATGAATCCAGCAAAACCTCAGTGTTATTCCCATCACAGCTGATATAAGTAACAAGTGATATCTGAGCTGGTCTTCTGTCTCGCTTCACCAACCAGTATGGGGAAATGTCAAACAGTCCCCCTAACCGTGAAGGCATGAGGCGGCCTTCATTCAGCAGAACTATAAATGACGATGAATGACACAAAACATGCCTTAACAGGGAAATAGACAAACATTCCAATGTAGGTCCCCCATCAGTCTCAATGACGCTTTCCTGAAAATATTTATGACATTATTTGATGCCATCCAGGCGACAGGCCCTGATTGGTTATTACCACTTTAGACAATCTCTCGCAGGTCTGCGACATCTCTAAATCAGAGAGGTGAAAGTATGGAGCAGGGTTAGCAAGGCACACACCCACACTTTACACCAAGGATGCAAATCATTTAGCCATTCTGGCCTTTATGCTGCACCTTTTTTGGCTGAACGATTGCCTTTACTTCATAAAATTGGACCAATTCTGCATTTCTCAATGCATGAGCGGCTGATTCCATATAAACATGTATCCATTACACCTCTACTCATGCCCACAATCAGAATGTATCGTTGTAGGTGGACTTAAGGCAGAGCGAATTATGGAATAACAAGTGTTTATACATTGATGGAAGGTGGAGCAACTCGCACATACATGTGTATGAGTATCATTGTGTGAAATGGACAAAGCCTGCTTGGTTCCTTTGGGCCTTCATTGGAGCAAGTGTGCCGTCATTAGCACGCTTGCTCCTGATTTCTCAAGTAATCCCCAGCTGCTGATTGGTTGCAAGGTTTTATGAGGAATTGGGAGAAATGGAATTTCCAGATGAAGATGAAAGTCTACAAAAGCCTGAAACCAAAATCTACATGAATTGAGTTCCACTTGTTAATGTTTTTTTTCTGTTTTCTCAGATATCGAAATTCTATTAGCATCATGTCATGAAGCGAAGTATCCATTCGGAACGCTCATAGATCAGTCCGCACAAGCAGAAATTACAGAACTACTTCTGAAATCCCTTCATGACCACTAATCTATACACTATGGGGCATCAATTCCCCACTTGCCCTGCGACACGGTATTGTTCATTGTATGACAGTAAAACCAATATTTAAAATTATCGTAACTATAATTTAGCCCAATAAGTAAAAATTCTAATTGAATTTCGATTTTTTTTGGGCGGAGTCAGTGATTACTGTGCAAAGGCCATCAACCCATGACAAGTTTGAATAGATCTGCCAAAAGATGTGAATCACACGCTCATAATTTTTTATGGGACTGTCATGTTTTGTTGGACATTTTGTGCTATGTTTACTATCTCTCGCTAGTCTCTCTATCCGAACTATGTGTGCGTATCACATAAACATAAACATGCACCCTCTCACACAAGCGCAAGTGACCCAATATCTGTGTGAAAACTGGTGCTCCTTTGCAACAGACACCACCTATTCCCCAAGGCTATAAAGGGAGTCACCGTGGCCTGCAGGTGCCTGACCTCTCTCTTTGAGATGTGTCATGCCTCTTGAGCTCCCCCCACCATCACATATCCCCTACCCCGCCCCAGGAATGCTGTGCAACACAATCTTAATATACGAAAGAGAGATACTGCTGTACATAACATCTGCGTTCATGGATTTATAATATACAGAAATATGTTATATATTTTTTTACCAATCACATAGTAGCCTTTTTTTTATATGTTCCATGTTGGGAATTAACATTTCTAGTAAAATTAATGTAAATGCGAAACATCTGGAAATCTATACAGAATTTTGGTGGGAATGTTATTAACTTAAACAGTATGACTTCATCATTGGTATTTTACAAATTTCTATTCTAAAAGCTTGAAAGTACCATAACAATAACAAAGGCAACATTTTCAATACAAGATAATTTATTAGACTGATCTCTACAAAAGAACACATGATATGTAATCAGAGGCATTAAATATTTATATTGTGCAACAACAGTTTCCTGCTGAGATAATGAAAGAGGTGCAGTGGCCTTTGTGTCACAAGTGGAAAGCCTTAGGGCAACACAGATTCAGTTTACAACAGAAAAAAAGTCTGAGCTAAATTGGCTTATAGATGCTTTCTTTATTATCAAGCTCCTATATACCATGTTGAAGCCTCAGATATATATTTTGTTCAAACATCACAAATATATTTCATCATGTACGTGCAGTAGTTTGCTCAGACTATTCCTCAATTGAGAAGGAGTGTTATTGATATCAAATAACATGTGGTGAAAGGATTTCCGCCCCCCCCCCCCCCGCCATAGATTACATAGCTAAAAATCACCAATATTTCAAATATTAAAGAACACCCATTATGGTTCATGCATGTATTTAAAAACATAATAGAACATGTATCAGAGCTCACACTGATTGCTCTCTGCACAACTACAAGTATGTAATGCTCTGACATGGCAATCCTCCCATTTTCTGGTATTGATTTATTTGAAATATTCTATTAAAACTACATATGGCACATGTCACAAATGATTTTGTTTGCATTTTTTTAACGTGTGATTAATGCAGACTTAATGCCTTCTAATAGGTGTCTAGATGGTATTTTTACATCTTAACATCTATATTTGTGCCAGAAAGGGTAAAGCCTCTGTATCATTCAATACCTTGATACTGATAACTATAGTATCAATTTTATATGCACCTTATATTTTTGGTTATGGGCAGTCTGGCTTTTAACAGCTGTGTTTGATGGCGTCTGTGTGTGTATGCAATATGTAGATATGTATATTATTCTACGAATGTGGATGCAAAATATTAAGGTGCCTCTGGGAGCCTGATATATCGAAAAGGCATGCCTTTATAGTATAGAGACCATTAGCTCGACTGAAAGGCAACAATGATTATAATCTCCATGGATGCATTGTAACACGCCTGGCATACATGCCTGTGTCTATGCACCTGTATTAATATGCATCATGTGTGTGCGTTTGTATTTAATGGGGAGTGGTGGTTCGTGCACATCACAATAAATGCAGTGAAACATTTTTATTCCTGGATGAGGTTAACTAGTCCTAATTAGGTACTTGGTGTGGTTTGTAAACATTCGCTAACAGCACTTACCCCAACAGTTTGTATGGGCTAAATGTGGCTTGTGTATATGTAGGCTGTGTGAGGCTGTGCTGGGATCAATCTGTCAGTAATGCGATGGCACAAATGAACCAGGGACACAACCCTTTACCTGCCGCAATGGCCTGCTTTGCAGGAGGCCCATGCAGCCATATCTCTGAGGTGGATTGCTGCCACATGGTGGCAGCGTGAATATGTCAGAACTCGTCATCAACAGTGCTAAATGCATGGCCATACCCCACCACTTTTGGGGCGATGCCCCAGCCGTGTCCTACCCTCTTTGGCCGGGTCGACCTGTGCAGAGGCATGGGGGAACGCTGAGATGGCTCTTTAAGTAATGGTGAAACCGAGCTGATTATCTGCAACATCAAGGATAGAATGACGGCTAGAAGCCCTTCATGGAATACCACTTCAGTAGGTAATTCATACTATGCTGTCATGTTAATTGATTTTTTAAAAATGCAAATTAGTTCACAGCCATAGAAGTGTATTTTAAAAAATAAATTATCAAATCCTTTAATCAAAATTTTTTCAAAATCAATGAGGTTTGGTACCTCAAATGTGTCAAATTAACATCTCTGCCATTGATATGCACAATGGTGATGTACGAATGCTTCTTATTGTATGCCTTGCAGGGAGTGGAATGTGCACGTGATGTAGACTGCTCACGGGACATGTTCTGTGGTGGCATGCGACTGGGAAGCCACGTTTGTGTGGCATGTCGTCGGGTTGGCAAGCGCTGCCACCGACACCAAATGTGCTGCTTGGGCAGCCACTGCGAGCAAGGTAATGCACACAAAGGGGATGCTCACAGAAACACCAATTTAAAAAAAACACTCGGTAAAAAGAAAACAAGCATTTCAACGCACACACTTTTATTTGCACTCTGAAGTATAAAAACAATTATTTTTGACCCCAGAATTAATCAAATTTTATTTACTGAGTAAAAGTGGGTGGCGTCCTTTAGATATGTTTAATTTTCTTTTTGCAAGCCACCCACTTTAATTAATTTATTTTGTACTTTTGAGTGAAAATAAAAGTGCGTGAATTTAACAGGTTTTTTTTACCTATTTTTCATGACCCTGTAGAGATGACGGCTTGCCTATGTCAACCCTTGACCATACAATAAATGAAAGCATGCGCATTGCTATAAAACAACAGTCTACGTAATCAAAAGTTGATAGCAGGTATCACGGCTACTACTATTAGAATAACGATAATCCCGATTGCCAAGTCGTGAAATTACATTTAGAACAACACGATACGTTTAACGCGTTTAATTGTCATATTTGCAATCATTAAGTATTGTACTGTATGACATACGGCAAGACACGTATACTGCAATGCTATAACAATGCACGCATATAAGCAGTGCATATCGCGAGACTGTATTCAACGTGAGATAACATAACCGTACAGATTTAGGTTATACATCGATGGGGAGGGACAGAGAAAGCATTACATTGCCAACTCCAAAAACCTAGTTAGGCTATTAGGTAGATATCCTTAGCACCTATTATGGCTATTATAGAGTATATTTTACTGAAATTACTCTAATATATTTAGGATTTTCCACTTCTCGTCACACGTATACGTAACAATTGTTGTTTTTTTAAAATGTGTTTTTTAAAGGTACCTGTATTGTCATGACAACGGAATCATCAGAGGAAGAGGAAGTGAAAAGTTTGGAACCATCACAACTGCCACCTTCTGCCACAGTGAACTTACACCAGGGTACTAATCACACTCCACTATGTTAGAATACCTCCGATATAAGTCTGCACCATCATCATACCACACAGTAAAATCACAAATTCACTTGCACACTCTGTACTGCCTTTAATCAATGTCATATGTTACAATCAAAAGACAATTCACATATAGGTTTAATTTGTTTTGGCAGGTCTATGGTGGATATATGAAAAAAATGTTCCATAGTTCAGCTGATTTTTCCCAGACCTACTCCATCCTATTCAGATCTAAAATTTAGTGCAGACCTAACAGATCTGCCAGATTCACCAAAGTGACTCCAACAAATCAGGGGCTCAGGTCACTGACATCATCACATTCCAAGTGCTGTGGTCTATCAACCACGGAACGTCAAGTAGAGCAATGCTTATTCTTGGTTCTTTCGGTAAAGTCACGTAGAAGGGAAACAATAAAAGAACCAAGAATATGAATCCCTGCAGTCACGAAAGCTTTAAATCAAAATTTTAAAGCAATGCTTGTTTCGAATAGGGCATTTTAACACCTGCTACCACATTATCATAATATTGTATTTCTCTCATTGTATTTCCAACCATGCATCCTCTCCATACTTCAAACTGGATTTGAAGCTTTCGTGACTGCAGGAATTACTCTTTGTTTTTTTTTGTCTTTTCTTTGTGCACTCTTAACTTTTTGCTCTATATTTTGCATGAATGTTCATGCTTCTAACAGGTACTAAATACACACTTATTAAAAACGTTCCTCTCTAAGCACATTTTTCTATGTTAAGGTTTAACTATGCAGTTCAAATTTTTATTTAAAGCTTTCGTGACTGCAGGGATGTATCTTCTTGGTTCTTTCGGTAAAGGCATGTAGAAGGGAAACAATAAAATAAAAAAATATAAAACAATAAAATTATCAATCTACAAAACACATGGGTTATACAATTTTATACTATACTTATTTGTCTTTTGCAATATCTGATTAATAGCAAGTTGTCAATGGTATAAATACACGTATCTGAATTCAGCTAGTTCGTGTGGTTAGTTGGAATCAAAAATTATATTATTTGGTCTTCTACAATGTTCGTGGACATTTTAAGATGGTTACTGTACTATTAAGCATATAAAAAACACATTTTAACACGATCTCCCTTTTTGAAAAAGTAAATGGTTTGAGAAAACATTCCTTAATTTACAGTTCTGCTAAACTTAAGCTAATATAGCACATAACACACACTACTTACCAGGTAAGGCCCACAGAGCTATAAAGCTATTTTTTAGAAGCGACCTGTCTAAAAATGATAGCTCAACGAAGTGGCTTAGTATGTGTAAATTTGTAGCAGCCAAATACTCTAAAGTCGAAACGCATGTTTCTAAATGTGGAGAGAAAACCGGAGGACCCAGAGAAAAATCTACGCAATCACGGGGAGAACATGCAAACTCCAAATATATAGGCGTCATGATCGGGATCGAACTCACGACCTCCTGTATACCAGGCGAGGTAGTTAACAGCTCAAAGTCAAAGTTCCCCCGTATAGCTTTAACAGGCTATGAAGGCCGGCACTGGAACACGAGGGGGTAAATGGCTAGCACCACGCCCGACCGATTTGTCTCCCTAGTAGCGATGTTTATTCACCGCACCCGGCTTACTCGTGAGGCCGCGTCGACCCAACTCACATCTCGCCGCCGTGTCAACATCTCGCTGCCGTGTTTCCACACACAATGAGCCATCACGTCTACCAAGGCCGTAGCCATGGAGTCAACATTGGGGGGTCCAAATCTTCCAGGGGGTCTGGGGGTCCCCCCCCAGAAAAATAAATAAATTTGAAAACTAATTTCCTGCCTAAAATATTTAAAAAAATGCACTAACACATAGGATGAACTTTTTTTTTTACAATAATGTCTAATAGTGTATTGTATTACATTGCTCTATTTTTTCAGTTTTTTTTTACCTTTTCTTGTTTCATTGTATGTTAATGTCAGAAATTAGGGATTAATAAAGTACAACCCTAACCAACAATCATATCAACAGAAATAAATTTTATAGCAATATATTGGGGGGGAGGGGGGGGACATTTTGAGCATATTTGAATATTGGGGTGGGAGGGGGGATGTGTGTCCCCACCAATATCTATCATAATTAACAGGTCCCTGCAGGGTGGGCTGGTAGGAACATTGGAATTTTGCGCAATTTTATTACACCCAACAGCACGAGATTTCACTTCGTTAAAGTATTGAAAGGGGACGGACGGACGGACACATTGATCTATTGCAGGCTGGTACACTCAGTTTACAACTTCGTTCCTACCAGAATAATTACGGTCTACCCCCCCCCGCCCGCCCGTCCCTTCTCGCGCCGCCCAGGGGAGGAGGGCTCCGCGTGCCTCCGCTCGTCCGAGTGCGCCGCGGGCCTCTGCTGCGCGCGCCACCTGTGGTCGCGCGTGTGCAAGCGCGTGCTCGCCCTCGGCGAGGCGTGCTCGCGCCGCGCCAGACCCAAGGGGTCGCGGGGCCTGGAGCTCTTCGAGCGCTGCGACTGCGGCCCGGGGCTCGCCTGCCGGCCCACGAGAGCCGTCTCTCCAGCCGGCGGGCCCGAGAGAGACGGGCGGCGCGGCGCCTCGGGCCGCGGGAGAAGTCGCGCGGCGGCAGCCACGGTTGGCGGTCACGAAAAGACCATCGACGGCGTGGCCGGCGGTGGCCACCCGACACGGCTGCTGCATGTGTGCCACGCGGTATAACAGAGTGACAGTGGGGAGCGCGAATGTCGTGGTTAGGCCACTTGCACTACAAGCCGGCAACTTGAATTTGCTTCCCACTTCACGGCCAACATTGGTGATGGAACATCTGAAATGGTCCCGGGCCCATCCCTAGATTGGCTCGGCTGTGTGTAAAACAATAGCGTCGGGGGAGTCCAAGACGGCAGGTGCTGGCCACCCCCTCGTGTGCCGGAACGACCTAAATAAGATGCTCATAACAACATTTGTCCGTTGAGTACGTTTAGGGTTTATATTGAGGATCTTTGTCTTTCCCACTGAACCCATTGACCTCTGGCCACGAGATGGATTGATGATGCTAGGTATCACTGATAATGCAGGTTGACCTATACATAATGCAACTAGGCAATACCTACTGGTCGATGTTAGTACTTATGTTCAGTTTAGTTTCCATAAGTGGTCACTGACAGAATTCGAACACAGACGTGAGAACACTTGCAGCGCCCAGCACTCAATTGAACTCGGCAAATGCATGGCATCTTTGCAGAGGTATTCATCTTTTACCGATACGCCTTAACATTGTCGGTGCGAGAACGCGCCCGCCGACTTTAAACGCCGCTCTCCCTGTAGCGTCGTTGTCCCAGCGTGTTCACGCCACGTGCTCGATTTAAAGTGCAGGGATCGCCACTCACTTGGCTCGCCGTAGATTTCGCTGAGCCGACAAGGAGGGAAGCCCCTGTGCCTAAACGTGTGCTGCATTAAATCAATGCAAGTAGTCGAGTTCCCCAAGCGCTGGCCACTGAATGATGCTCTGTGTCCAGAGCAAATTGGTGACCATTGACTAAAACGACTGATAACTTTCAGGCTACACATGGAGGCTCAACAGAACCGAGGTTATGAGTGCTGACAAAGGTTGTCGTTCTCACAAATATTTCCCCAATGGCCAACCACACATGTCCCTTCACTCCTTCAGTTCTAACTCCTGTCCAGTATATATTTACATCACCAAAAGAACCTTTGAAACAAGTCCCTTATTATAAGAGTTGTACAGACACCACTAACGGGAACATATCTCTGTTGTCTGTTACAGTTTAGTAATAGCAATATAGGTAGGTATCTCTCGATTTACGAAGGTTCGGTTTACGATGTTTCGCGTTGACGCAATTTGTAAAATTATGGAATACTTATCGATCTACCAAATCGAATTTCCGCGGAAACGAAATTTCTCACGGCACGCGTCATGAGCTATTCAAGCAGCACCCCGTGGTGCTACGTCATCCATCCTCTGCAGTGACGGAATCCCTCCAGCGCAAGTGACGCCTCTACAGGACCTTTCCCGTCATTCCAACATTAATCTTTCGGCGAGTTCCTTTAAATGGTTGTTTGTTTTAAATTATTCAATCGTTTTAATGTGTCATTTTTTTTGTATTGTTAAAAAAGTGATATACTGTAGGTGTATATTTTAGGTTCGGAGTAGTTGGAATGACTGTCCAAAACACAGCCCTCAATTTTTGTATTAATGGGAAAAGCCATTCCGATTTACGAAATGTCGTTTTATGCGTGTTTTTTTTTAAAGAACGCACCCATTTCGTCATCAAAGGTTAGCTGTAGAGCTTTTCTTTACCAGTGGTGTTTATAGATTCAAACGCAAGTGTTAAATATCATGTAAATATATTAAGTAGGGTTAGTAAGTTTGCATTTGTTTTACTTTGGCTGTATGCATGTTCAGTTTTGTGATGTATTACGACATGATTAATTTATCAGGTTTTAGTATTTCAGTCATTAGAAAATATAGGCAAACCTAATCTATTTTCACACAAACTATTGACAGTTTTCACAGTACATAGTTTGTTGTCGAAATACAAAGATATGAAACACAAATCTAACCATCAAGCCCTTGGACTTGCACATTACACGAGTGGCATTAGTGTTACATATCCAAATGTTTGTGCATTCAAATGCATTTAACTTATTTGTTCAATGGACGTTCGATAACATTATTAACAAGAGACCCCTTCCTACTTTTCACAGCGGTCTTCCGGCACTAGTGAGAATAGATGAGGCTCGCCTAATGTGTGCTGACTTCAGTTAGTATACTGTAGATGTGTGTGATGGTTCAAGTTGCAGTGAGCATATATTCATTTATTACCTTCTGGGGTGTACGTGACAGTGGGCTCACACAATTGAAGGCAAATATTTCTTTGAATTCATCTCAGCTCAATAAACCAATACATTCGTTTGCTTGCACAAGTATATCCGGAACTAAATTCAGGAATGCTGGCAAGTGCAATCATGAATCAGTGAAATTAAACTTAACAGACTAAGGGAACATTAAGCTTGTTCCACATATTTATGATTAATATCGTGTAGTTTTCATATTTATCACTATTTGAAAATATTTAAATTGTAATAAGATATTGGTGGATGAAACTGTTACATTTTAACAGGCTATACAAACTGAATGCACAATCGCACATTTGTGCCAGGCTATAATCAGAAGCATAAGGTCTGTATGGTGTAGCCCAAGCAAATTCCCTAATGCTTCATTTTTAATGAAGGCCAGCCTTGGGAAGATGCTTTTTTGTACACGACCATGTGCTTATTATTCACACATGCTAAAGACTTTCACACATTTGACTTCAAAAGCCTTCCAATATAATTCTTGACTTACAGCTTTCGTGACTGCAGGAATTAATATTCTTTCGGTCTTTCGGTAAAGTCACGTAGATAGGTTCTAATTTTATTTTCTTTGATCCCTATCTACGTAACTTTACCGAAAGACCCAAATAATATAACCTTCCAATATAGCTTATTGTTATTCTAGCAGGTATAAATATATGAATTCGATATTTAAATAAAAACAATTGTAAGGAATTGGACAAACATTTGAAGCAGGTTCTTTCAATAAGTAACGAGGCTCAATGACGATTTTCTGGTTAAGCCGATGGAAATGTAATTATGTTCGATGCAAGCCCACGTGTAGTTGCTCGTGTCATCGTGAACTGAAAGTGGCATATATATGCATGCACGTCAGTCTGTTTTATGACTGCAGAATGTCAGGTATGAGTGTGGACAACATGCTGCCTACATGTTGATTTTTTTTAATGAACCACTTTGCATGATTTACTCAACTTTTAAAATGCATAAGCAATTTTGTTGTTTTTGCCTTTTTTATTTTTACATGCACAATAAAGTATGTCCTTAAACAAATATTGGTTGTTTACTCAATAACTGAAATACTTCACATGGGTTAAAACAGTAATACTTTACTAGGTATAATTTTACATCCACGCACCCCAGTTTAAAACACTCATTCACCGTCCCTTTAGGCTGGCTATATTAATTATAGGAATTAATACTCGGCTCTATTCTAAGGCTGCTGAAGGGATAACTGGAACCACACCTCGACTTGGATTTACGAGTCTCTGTGACCCAATGATGTACGGTAGCTATTTTGACCATAATTGCATCCCTTAATAGCACGATAAAAAGCATTTGGTATGATGGGTACCGATTTAACCTTAATGTAATGTATACATGAGCAACAGTACTCGCATCCTTGATATTCAATATACGAGGTTACACATTAACATGTGGACTTAAAAAGCACCAAGATATAACCAAACCTCACTACACTAAATATGAGACGAGTGCATGGAGATAATTTGAAATGGAAAACTTTTTAATATACAGCAGAGCTCGATTATCCACGCTGACGAGGAAGACGGCCGCGGATAATTCAAAATCGTGGATAATACAAAAATATCCATTTTCCGTCGACCTCTATGCCAAAAATACTAAAAAATGAATAATTTATGTTTCAGTTATGAACATTGAGTTTGTTAAGAAACAAAACAAAAATTTGTAGTAAAGAATCGACGGATTGATGCGCATTCTTAGTGATAAAACTTTCCTGCTCCCGCGCAGAAGACTGCCCACTAAGTGGATAGCAGAGCCACACCAAAATCAAACTCTGGCCACTGTTATAAATATATGCAACTACTGTACTGTAGAGGCGATTTCGGATTCACAGGAGCACATATCTGTTCGGTTTAAGCACGTTACTAGTAATACACTTTTCCAAGAAAAATAATGTATAACTGTTTTTAGAGTATGAATTTGGGCTTAAGGGAAAATCCATCAGTTATTAATTTACGTAAAATCTCAGGTGTGCTGTTAATCCACAAATTGGATAAACCACACACGGATAATTGAGAGTCTACTATATTAGTATTCAGAGCAGAAATAAAGAGAAAACTACTGAAAGGGAGAGAGATGTAAGTAGATGTGTTTGAGAAGGGAGAAAGCAATGTGATATATTTAAAGGCATTTCATAAAAAACGTTAAAAGGCAGAGAAGAACTGGCCTTCTCTCTGGATTTCAACAAAGGGAATTGGGCAGTCCAGATTTCAAGAGGAAGGGAATTGCAAACAAATTATTTAGCAGCAGACAAGGGGAACTGCCAACTTGGTTGCTGGCATGGAGAGCATGTGACGGAGTAGCTTAAAATTCAATGGGATAGGTAGGTGGCGGTGATTCTATGAAGGATCTTAAAAATGGTGAGGGTGATTTGTAAAAGGTGCAGAATTGGATTGGGATCCAGTGGAGAGGTCAGAGTTACGGAGGTGATTTGTCTTGTTTACAGGTGCTGGCGTGATGCCTGATGGTGGCATTCTGAATACAGGCGCGTCTCAACGAGCACTCTATAACGAGCAAATTTAATTTAGACGAATTTGTTTGTAAAATGAGCAAATGTTCACGTAACGAACGAAGACCGATTGAATTTTGATTTAAAGCCTTTGTGACTGCAGTAATTCATATTCGTGGTTCTTTCGGTAGTCACGTTGAAGGGAAACAATAAAATAATAATAAAAATATATAAAACAATAAAATTCTCACGACGTTTCGACTGCAACACAAAGAGACATCATCAGGTAACCTCAGGTAACCTGATGACGACTGCGCGGGAGCAGTAAAGTTTGTGTCGCAGTCGAAACGTCGTGAGAATTTTTATTGTTTAATATACATTTTATTATTTTATTGTTTCCCTTCAACGTGACTTTACCGAAAGAACCAAGAATATGACGACCGATCGATCGAATGCGTTCCATGGCGAGAGGGGGCGCGAATTGCGGCTCACAGTTGTTTGTATCGCACACTTTCAGATGTGCTTCTGCGGCTGTCTTGAACACTCTCCCTTCCAATGTTACGAAGCTACTGGAGCAATACACTTTTAAATTCAAATTTAAAACTGATTTCTTTAGAAACTGCTTTTTGTGTTCAGTTTGTTGTCCTTCCCACGCACCTCCGATTAGCACGGTTGGCTACTTTAAGAAGTTCAACATACTGCTGTGTGCGTGAGATTCGCCATGTGGGGGAAGGGGCCTTTATGGTGGAACTGTAATGGTTGAGTAGGAGCGGGGGGAGGGGGGGGGCGCTAATTAATTACAGAAGCTGAAGACAGGCACCTGCAAGCACTGTGGTTCATGTGTGGTAAGTGTTACATGATATTTTATTACTTTACGTTAAAAATTATACTATGTATTTCTCACGTAAAAAAAAGTTGATCTAGAGTGGAACATTATGGGGCTGAATCATAACTCATTTTTTAACGGGAAAACGATCGTTTTTACGAATTTTCGCTTAACGAGAAATTTTAAGACGCCTGTATTTGGGATTTAGTTAAGGGGAATGTTCTGCACATAACGCAATATACAGGGCAACGAAAGCTGATTTTGTGGATACAAGAGGTAGATTTAACAGAAATGAAAAATAATCTTGGGTTACCAGATTTGGTTTGTGCTAAAATACTGCACAAAACGTTTGCGTTTCTGCTATTTTCAGTTATAAGGCAACAACCAAGATGGCTACATAATTTAGATTGTGCCATTGCTCCTAATTCTGTAAACCTGTGTATAAATACATGCTTATAAATCCCTGTCTTGTAAAATGATGCTAATTTTAATGTTGGGGGTAACGCGATGCCTAAAACAAATATGTGATCATACAGAAATGTCCCTCTCACGCCAATCATCCTTTGTCAAGGCGTTTTCTGTTTGCACCCTCACAGCTTAAAAGGTGGCAACCTGCGCTTGGCTTTCTTCACTCCAACGCTGCCCGCTGGACAGTTTGTCCCTTCACCTGATGAAGGCCACTTGTGTTGTGGCCGAAACGTCGTGATTTTTGTTGTTTTATTTTTTACCTACGTGACTTTACCGAATAGAACCAAAGAGTATAAACTTGAGATTAGTTCTACACAGTAAGACAGAGTAGGTTTCAGATCTGTTGCGAGACTCATTCACTCCGGTCTTTAGGCTCGCGATAGGACCATCCGATATAAGAGAAGATGTCCTGTTCACTGTATACTGGCAACGCCTCGCCGATCACTCCTGTAATTGTGGATGCACACGCGCAGGAGATGCATGTAGCACGCACAGATACACGCAGAGAAACGAGCATTAAAATCCACAAATGACTTCAACATGATCATCAAGGCAGAGTACTAATCTTATAATTATTTGACCGGCAGCTAATTCTACTCATCTGTACATTTATCTGAGGCATGTCAGTTTTAGCGTCAAATTTTAAAAATGGGTGTTAAGCTGCTAACACAGGTTAATGTTTAAAAGTTGGGCGATTCATCCGGGACACATTACAAATATACCGGTGATGCCGATTGGCCGGATGGAGTACTCGTTGAGGGTGAACCCCATTTCCAGTGCACGAGTTCTCATGTTCTTGTTGAAAATGTCACTGCCTGTAAAATAAAGCACTCCACAGAAGTACTGGTCCTTTGGTACGAGTCTGGTGAATGGAAACAGCGTGACAGCACACACAGCGGGACAGCACACACACAAACAATGCACAAATGTGAAACATTAAGTAAACTTACAGATATAGTCAATTGTATTACACATTAAGGTTTGCTGAATAATACCACAAAATAAACAGAAAACATTCATAATTTCCATCTCACCGGATGTCAATACGGCGGTGAGGTCGGTTTGTCTCATCATCATCATCACCATCAACCACAGGAAGCCTTCCTACGCCCTGTGAGTATTTATAGCCATCATCGAAGAGACGTAACAACAGAAAAGCATTAATATCGAGTTATCATCAATGACCGGATAAATTACTCTTGCTGATGCAAGATAGACCCCACATGCGGGTTCAAACCAAAGTTGGTAGTCAGTTTATCTCACTATCCCTTGATGTAATGATCGCTTAAACTGTGCAAACTCACCAGTGATCATCCGATAGAGACTGCACCACACTTTCGGAATGTAAACACGTCAAATTTTCAGTGAGCTCAGGGCAGCCAAAAGAGATGAGCACTGCTCCATTGCTTCGGTATGGAGAAAATGGAACTTGGTTATCTTAAATGGAGTTAATTTCAATCGACAGCATGAATATATTTAATACATGATTATGAGGTACACTGCAAGTATACAATGTTTATTTCCCATAACCCTCTGTAACAGCCAGAATGAGTTTATATTCAATATCACTGTTTTGTACTGAAATGAGCCCCACATTCGTCATGACTGGCTCTTGCAAAATAACACAAGGCTACCCATTAGAATTCTTCTAACAGGCCTGACTGGTTATGAGATTCTTTAAAGTTCAAACCAGTTGCAGAGTTCGGCTGCTTATGAAACACCCTGAAAAATAATTGCCCAGAAGATCACTTGCACTTTGCTACACAATCTTCTTGGTTCTTTCGGTAAAGTCCACGTAGAAGGGAAATACTAAAATAATAAAAATAAAACAATAAAATTCTCACGACGTTTCGGCCACAACACAAGTAGCCGTCCTGCAGTCACAAAAGCTTTAAATTTAAATTTGCTACACAAGTCAAAATGATCGGCCACATAACTCTAACACACATCCTCATTTTGCCACACAATTCTCATACACATCCTGACTAATTTCGTCTACCCAGATCTACCATGCAAGAAGTTGAGCTAAGAATCTAGAAAACCATACACTTAAGATGACACTAAATATTCAGCAGTTAAACACCAACTTGTAATACCTATGCTATGCCGACACCGGTTCTGTATTGTGACCCACCCCCTGCTGTACATCTGTGAAAAAGAGCTTCACAGCTCATCGGATTTCTCCAGGATAAATAAAGATTCTGATTCTGTATAGCCATCTTGAGCAAGTTTTAAAGTGATCAAAGTCTATGAAACTGAGAAGTCTTTCTCCATCGCTGCCAACATGCCCTTTATTTATAAGGCTCAAGATATATTAATTAAATGAAAAGCTCAGTGTTTGGCAAGCGTATCATAAGTTCAATCGTAATTAATGTAAAATGCTATCAGCATTCACAATTACCAACATTTACATTTCGGAAATGACAAGACATGTTTCTACACTTGATACTGATCTTATTTAAGCCATGTACTTTTCCACCGATAAATCTGAGCCAAGCTAAGCCAAGCGTGGTGTTTTCTCCTTGTAATTTGGCATACTGAGCCAAACCGTGATACACTGGCCTCACAAGACATCTGCATCTGCCCTGGTGCTAAACAGGGTAGATGTAAATGTCAAAGGCAAGGCTAATGACATGTTCAATCCACCTTACATCACCACACCCGAGGAAGTTAAACTACATTGCATCTAGCATGGGAACCGTTTGTGTATGTGTGTGCAAGTGAATCGATTGGCGGTGACCCGGGTCACCATCGTGACCCAGGGGTGCCAAAACCTCCATAACTCCGAAACCAGAAGGCCTATGAAGACGGGAGATGTCACTGAGCCCGATACGTACGCCAAATATGGAAATAAAAAACAAACGCAAAACACCCATGAAAAAGGGGGGCTGCTGGGGATTTGTGCGTGGCAACGGCTGTTTATTGCTTGTTTTGAAAGTACATCAGGATGCCGGTCTGGTCATTCCCCAGCACGTTCTGCTTCTTACGGGGGCGGCCACCCTCCTTGTCTTTGGGAGCGAGACCACTTGGAGGCAATGGCGCACCAGGCGCTCTCTTGGTACGGCCAGCGGGCATGGTCGTGTTGGCGGGATCGACATCGTCGTCATCATCGCTCCCAGCGTCGCCCTCCGGCAGGACAGTACCAGCGATGCTCCCAGAAAAAAACCTTAAACTATGCCCAGCCCACCAATATATTGCAGTGACCCGGGCTACCGCCAATCGATTCAAGTGTATTTGTGCATCAGTGGCCTGGCACAAGCGTCGTGGTGACGTCACCCCCACTTAGTGGCGAATGGTGGTTGTTGTTGTTGTGTATCAGTGTGCATAAGTGGGGAGCAGTATTGTAGCTGTTAGCGTGCTGTGCTGCGAGCCTGGCGACCCAAGTTCGATTCCCGCTTATACCAACACCAGTGATGATTATCTGAACGAGTCTTGGGCCTCCCCTAAGTTAATTCAGTCTCAAATGAATACCTGGTGCGGTGTGTAAACATTGCTACGAGGGAGACAAATGAAGCGGTCGGTCGTAGTGCTGGCCACCCACCCCCTCGTGTGCTGTGCCGGCCTTCATAGCCGCATGCTAACAGAAATTTCCCAACTGTCTTTGTAAGTATGTATAACAGTACTGATGTGTATATTTGCGTGTGTGTGTGAGCATGCAAGTCGACTCAAACATGGCATCACTGCATCATCTACATACATCTCAATGTTACGCATTGCTTGGCTGCTGCCCTGGAAAAACAACAACCTGCCCCTCTTTGCTCACGATGGCCTGGTTCGGTGCACAGTCTCAGCGCAGCACAGATGTGCCGGTGAATAGAGGGTACAAAACTGTCTCTTGTACATCAATTAATTTCAATGGCCTCTCATTTATTTTGATAAAAGAAATGGAACCTGATTTATGTGTTTTTGAAAGGCTGATTTGGATGAGCTCGTGGAAAATTAGCCAACATACAAGTGTTTTCTGCATATTTGGTGTCTGCCAAAATATAGAAAAATAACTGCTCTCTTGCCAACATCTGAGTCTGGTCATAAGAAATAATGTGTATTAAATATTTTAAATATGTCCAGAGCAAGAAACTGTTCTTAAAAATGTTACAGTAACCTCGGATGGCTGTGGAACTATTAGATGCGCATATAAAGTCAATGAGAAAAAACAGCTTTCCGTAATTTACCACATGGGCTGTGACTTACAAGACATGCTCCTTGCTCTGGTGAAAGATACTTTGGAAAGCTGGATCACCATATTTGATGAGATAAACCTAAAATAAGACGTTCCTACATTCCCCGGTAATTTGGATGCACAATACGAAAAAGGTGAGTCTGGTTGAGAAAGGTCCAAAGACTACATAGGACAACTCACAAATAAGTTGTGCAGCTCTTAAATTCAATTTGGTAGTATCCATCATGTTCACATTAACTCTGTACATATCGTTCATAACATTCGTACATTTTAAATTGATCCATGTCAATCAATGCCTCTAAAGAGTATATGCAAACAAATCACTTCTGAAGATAACAGCGATGATTATTACAATGATGATGAAGTCTAATGTAATGACAAATAATTTTACCATGAACTTTGTGTCACCACGGGATAATGTCTCCGAAAGAAACCCAGTGGACTTCAAGTGGTCCACCACCCTATGCAAAAGAAATGGCTGAGGGTACAAAAAAAAAACACAACCGTGTGAGAGTGTGCGAGTAAAACAACAACAACAACACTATATGAACAATGCGAGTTTATTATAAAATGCATCCTTAAAAAAATAAGGAGCAGATAGCAATTAAATAATGGGAAATATGAAATACAAATTGGAGGGGAAATAGGTGAGTATTTACAAAATGAATAAACTGTGGATATGATTCATTTGTAAACCACCTGCTTCTTGCTCTCAGATGAGTAACTCTCATAAGTCAGAAGTACATCCATGTCACCACTTGACTCTGCCCCTGCAACAACCAGTCAATAAAGAATAGTCAATGATCATGAACTGCCAAATCGGTATCATTTATTGAAATATATATGTATAACACAGTGCAGACACCACGGCACATAAATCTGACAACCCACATCCACTTCTATAGCGAGCTCCATATTTAGTTAACATTTCTTGCGAAGCTTCAGTCCATGGGGCTGGGGAGTTAACAAGCATTGCAGTGGGACCTGGTATGGCAATAAATTGTTCCCATGGTGAGTTCGCTTTGCCAGCTAGGACAAAGGCTCATAATGGCAGGCACGAAAATCAGCGCTACAATGATGCACCATTGTAGTGATTGTAGCTCCTTACTCCGGGCCGCTGATGAACACAATTAGGTTCTCTCTCTATGCGTGTGGGGGTGCTTGAAGCCTTGTGTTATTCTTCTCCTTACTGCCAATGGAGAGCAATATTGTGTATTCACGTGACCATTTTGTTTAAAATGGTCACGTGAATGTCACCCTTCACTATTATTATTCAATGAAATGTCCTAACCCTTATTCAGACAGGGAAAAGGATGTGGAGGATGCCTGGCGTCCCTTGGAAGTTGAGATATTTTTGGATGGAATCGCAAATCCAATTGCCTGTGGTGGCACACCTCGCAGTGCCAATGGGCTCTTGGGTGCACAGATCCTATGCTTATGATTTATAGTACGGTTTTAAACAAACAATTCCCTTTGAAGAAATGTGTTGCTGACTCGCTAAGTGTGCGGCTCTTCAGCATCACGTCCAGTGGCATATGTAGATAATGTAGCAAGATTCAGGGCCAACTAGCATCCTTCCATTTTATTTAGATGTTTAATATACCATAGCACGTGTAATAATGTGTGCTTGTTACCTCTGCGGAAGCTGCCACAAACTGTAGCAATGTAATCAGGATCCAAAGCTTGTATATCTTTGCACACCAGATCCTAAACATCACATTTATATATTCACATTACTGACATATCCCCACCAAAGTCTGTTTTCATGATAATCATTGTGACCATAATTAGCTTAGCAATCATGCTAACATGCATCACTGAGTCAAACAAGTGAGAGTCAAATGTATATGGCACACAGCTTACCTGCATTTTCATCAGCTCAGTTCTGGGAATCCTTTTTTCAAAATCCTCAAAGTATCTGCATTTAAAGATGAAACACAATAGCTAAAATTCTGAAACCATACCATAACAATTATAGATCATTTAAATATATTCGGACAAGAGCACTGAAAACTTACAATTCACATTTTACAACCATATACTGCAATATACATGTAACAATTAATCATCTCCACTGGCCATTTAATGAACTGCAGGTTGCATTTTGATTTAAGAGTTGACTCTTTTTATTGATTCAAAATATGTGTGTGCCCTCGTCTACAAGTTGTGTGCACGTGAACAAATCATGTGCATAGATTGCAACATAATCAATTCCCATGCACACATTTTAGATGCATGTATTTATTCTAAGCGCAAAAATCAACGTTCGTCCAAGAATTTCTGCATGCCTTTCACATGACAATTGTTGTGCGAGAGCCTGGTACCAATGTTTTTCCAGTTTAAAAAGAAAACTAACATGTTATACGACGGTATGCTATACTGGCACTTCCCAGAACATAAAACATTAAAAACTGTACTTTTCCAAACGGTTCCTATTCTTATATTATGGTGTCTTCGCAGAGGAGAAGCAGCAGTGAATGCGGAAGTAAACACAGGAGCACCCCCTGTACTATTCTATTATACAGGTAGGAACAACAGGTTCCACACTGCCCACCTGGGATTATTTGTCTGTCTGTCTGTCGTGCATATCCGGAATTCCATCCGCATAATTGGAGTTTCGGCACTAATTTGTATCCGTATTTGGCGAGTGTTGTTTTTAGCTTGAACAAAGTATGATATCCTCCATACGCAAATACGCAAATCATATTTAGAGTCCGCGAGGATGAATTAAAACTGGGTTTCGGAATGGCGTGCGCTGCTTACACCAATAAAATACCATATAAACCATAGTACATATCCAAACATTTTGTGGACTTAAAAAGTTGGGTGGACATTGCGTACATGTACACAAATTTTACAGGTAGGAGCAACAGGTCAACAACTGCCCACCAAGGATTATTTGTCTGCACGAAAGCGCTGTCCAACCAAGTTCCTACCTGCCCACTGCGAGGGAACGTGTTTGCGCGTGACAAAGATTCAAGGAGCCAAAATGCCAATGTCAAGATCTGCTATCCACGTGAGAGCTTCATGAGATAGTTCTTGTAGTTTCACTATTCCTCCATTGAAGGAGCGCAGACTAAAGTGGTTAACTATTTGGTAGATAATTTGGGTTGGATGGCCACAATCGCACTGAGGCTTGGTTTTTTTTATTTTCCATTCATGAAGGAGATGCGCGTATCGGCCCGTTGACGTTCCATGCTGTTGAATACCAAAGAGCCAAGATTTGTGTCAGTTTGTAGAAATCGTGACGAAAAATACAAAAGTATTTCAATTAAAACCATTATGCTGAGTAATCGTGCGATTGGTACATGTGCACACATGGACTGTGGGGATTCAAAAGTGCAGCACTGCTGTGGTTGCTCACATTGACAGTGAGCTTGGCTGGCATACAATCACACCAGATAAATCAAAACTAGGTAAGTATATACAAACAATAAAAAAAATATTTGATGAAATAACTATCTTAATTTATTGTAAAAACTGATCAAAACCAATTCTTGGGAAAAAAAAAACCTCTGCAATTAGCGGCAAAAACATTCCCGCTCGGCCACGTCTCCCGTTCTTATAGGAGGCATATTTAGCCATGATTCAACACAAACCACAATATGATCAAGTTAAGATTATATTCAAGAACCTATTATTGCGTTTGTTGTTTACTCTCATTTAGACTCTTTCTTTCGTTTTAAATTGTTCTATATCGTTCGTTCAATTACCCTAAATGTAACATTTTAAAATAGTTGTAAACAATTTATAGCAATGCAAATAATAATCGGTTCCTACACACAATCTGATGCAGCATTGTGAGTGTCCATTACTTGATGAACCGTTACATGCCTATTTACAATGTATTATTTTTATCAATTAACAAGCTCATTCCATTTTGACTTAAAACTTTACTTAAAACATTTCATTTGTAATTAATTCCCATTCATTAATGTACAATAAGTGTTTCATTTCATCAATCTCTACGACATGTTGTTTAATGATATATTTTCAAACGCTAAAAATTATGCTGTTGACGTAAACATTACATCGTTTTTTACTGGTAAAATGAAACGAACTGGTTCCTGCAACCAGTCTATTAACAGGCACTGCATATCTGACTTTGTTGATGTGGATATGATCGTCCCCCCTCTGACCCCCTTTAGCACAATCTGATGTACCTTTTATAATATAACCCTGTACACAACATGTGAATGTGTTTAACACATTCCAAGCTCATACATCAGTTTGTTAATCACTCACTTCAGTCCAATGCGCTGGTGATGGTTAAGTCTCTCGACATTGTTTTTCAAGTCTGTAAAAAGTGGAAAAGTAGACGTTCTAGTTTCTCACAAACAATACAGAAATATAAACTATGTACACACAAATGATAAAAGGGTGGATGAGTCCATCTTTTCTGCACAACAATGTTGGGCACATAATTAAAATGGTGATTTGTTGCATCTTGGCAACAAATTACCATAGCACAAAACAAATGGTTCATTAAAAATGGTTATCTTAAAAAATATCAGCAAATAATCTTGCACAAATCTGCAGTTATTATGCAAAAATCGTACAATTGCCAAGCGGAGAAATGACAATTTCGAGATGTGAACAACATAAAAGGACCTTTTTAATACCGATGATAAACAAATGTATGCATATAAACAGACTGCAAATTTTAAGTGTGGTAAGTGAAAGCAAAATAATACAGTAAAACTTCTTGAAGCCGAAAAGGCCACATAAACCGAAAATCGAATTAGGCTGCATGTGAGACACGTACATATGTGCGCAATTCTAAAGCTATGCAAACATACTGTGCAGCACTTAACCGTGGTGCCGTATTCGGTGAGGCCACACGAACACATGATTCTGTGCAGACCAAAGTGCTTTGCGAGGTTCGCTCTCATTCTGGGTTATATATTTATTTATTTTAAACTTCAAGCCCGTCTTCTTCTTGGGTTTACGAATCAGCCTTCCACTGCTTCATGGCGATGGTCACTCAGATGCATTTGCACAGCGGTCATTTTTAAGTGTTATTCAACAATAAGTATTACGTGTGAATGTAATATATTATTTAATTAACGTTTTCATTAATGGAGGTGGATTGTTTCCACTCAAGGCCAGTGTCAACCTAAAGTTCGAGACTGTTCATGCGGAACATAGATATGATCCTCATCAGTGAATCAAGCATTTCACCTCCGGATGTTGCAAAAACATATCTGGCCATCACTCTTTAGAACTGTTTTTTGTGTTTGTTGTCCTTTTTCACCCGCACATCTGATTAGCAAGGTTGGCTATTTCTAGATTTGAAGCTTTCGTGACTGCAAGGATTCAAACTTTTTGTTTTTTTCGGTAAAGTCACGCAGGTAAAATAAAATATTGTTCTATTTTATTTTACCTGCGTGACTTTACCGAAAAAAACAAAAAGTAAGCTTGGCTATGTATGGGGGAAAGAAGTTGAACATACATACATGAATCACTAATAAGATCCAAGTTGGAAACTTGTTCTTTTAAGTTATATCCCAATCTATCACAATGCTGAAATGTAAATGTGTTAAGGGTTTTTCCTTACCGTCCAGTGTTCTAATTCCCTCATCATACAGCTTTTTGGCAACAGCAGGTCTGTGGGTCAGTCAAGTTACATAAACAAGCTAAATGTTTATCGAGTGAAAACAAAAAGGCGATAGAATAATTCACACTGAAGGACAATGAATATAAACACAATAATCATGATTGCTATGTGTTATATAGTTCTCCAACAAGTTAGAACCCAAATCTAACAGAGAAGGTAGTTGCTTTATACACTTTGGCAGTTCACCAGCATTGGTAAAAAAAATATTTTACTGCTAATTATAAACACCGAATGCCAAACAAGTCCAGAGTTGGCTCCTGATGAATCATTGGGGTTGAAATTATGCACTCCCATCAGGCTGTGTAGCTGATGGGATGTGCAAAACATATTTGCATTTTTTGTGGAAGGACAGCTATGGAAAGGAGGCATATTGTCTGCTGATTTATTTTATGACAGATCTTCACAGTACAGTAAATGTATATTGTCTACATGAAGCAAACCATAATTTCAAGCCAAACAGTCCATCTAAACTCTCCAACCCCCACCCTCTCTAGAGCACCCCCCCCCCCTGATCACACACACTGGACCAGTACATTCGGACTTTCGATAGAAGGTCCAGTGGATTCCAACCATCAAGAGGGGTGGACAGTCCTTCTTTTTGAGCAGGACAACATATAAGAGAACGAGTAGCTCTTCATTAAATAATGAAAGGGGCCTGGGAGCAGTGGGAAGCTGTGGAAGGCTCGCGAGTCGTAGGCGGTTGTGGAGGCGAGGATGAATGGCTCCACGGAAGATGAACGTCCATGGAAGGATGCAGGCAAGGCTGACTGAGTCAGATACCTTTAATTACATCCTCTCTCAGGTGTCGGCTAAATTGGCCAATTGGGATAGTATTTTTATTACAAAGTGAATGGGAAAAGGTGCAAACCTGCAATTGCGTGCTCATGCATTTGTTTGCAGTAGGGCTTCCACAAAGTTTCCTATAGAGAGGCCCTGGGGATGGTATTTGTCCTACTATTTCACACGGGTCTTGGAAGAGGTGGAAGTACCCACACTTTACTCCACTACCTGCGATCAGCCAATCGACTGTGGTAGAACCATTTACACCGCTTGATGGAGAGGCAAGGGGATTTAAGAAAAAAGTTTCCACTGCCATGCTGGGCAATCAAACCGACAACCTCTGAATTGCAAAGTCAAGTGTGCTAACCGTTACACTATGGGAGCATCCCTTATGAGGAGACTTCATTGGCCAAGTGGGCCATGATGCCAGTACTTGGGACAGGAATTATAGGAAGGTATGGGCCAGATGAACTCATCAATGACAATATGGAGCTGATACTTTTTGTAACCGATGGACTTGAAAACACCAACCAGTCTGTAGTGCATAAAAGTCAAAACTTTAATATCCTGATTTGCGTTAATAATTTTATCCAGCCCGATCCACACTGATCAAAAACAACCAAATTCAGATTTGAATGAATCATTTGGAGCACCCCTTGTACAACGGTGTACAAAGGCAACCTCAGTATACTGAGCGTACCGCCATAAACAATGCATTTCACCAAGCACACCAAACTGCTCCCAAAAACACATTAATAAAACCTCCAAACCACAAAAATAATAATATGGGAGACCCTTGAAAATTGCGGGTTTATTGTTCGCAGTTTCAACCTGTCGTGGGCAACCTATTTTTGTATACCAATTTAGCTATCGTGGGGGGTTAGCTTTGGCATGTCGCGGATATACTGTACACGGAAGTATTGTATCATGGTGTTGTGTGGCTGATTCTGTGGGGCAGGCAAGGGACGTGGGGCAGTCAGTGGCACCTAAACTTGGCATGCGAGCAGCTCGCGGACAAAGAACTATTAACAGACTGTTCGGGCAAGTGCTATAAACGAGCACGAATGAAGGCCGGCATGGCGATATTTACACATCACACCAGATACTCATTTGATATGCTAAGTTAACCTAGGGGAGGCCCAGGACTGATTCAGATAATTGTAACTGGTATTGGGCATGAGCAGGAATTGAAACTCAGGTCACCGGGTTTGTAGCGCAGCGTGCAAACCACTACCCCACCGCTCCCTACTCATGGACAATAACATACACTCACTTTGCATCATCATCAGTAAGTACAGTATTTATTCAGTATTTATACTATTTATTGTCTAAGAATGTTTTTGCATAGGTTTTTACGTGTTTATTTCAATTATTTAGTTTAAGCTTATTTGGCATACAGTACAGCCCTTATATCAATTGTGAAGTGTCTGCTTTTGGTTGCCGTGTACCTAACTCCATTATTTTAAGGTAAGGTTTAAGTATTGAATATCGCGGTTTTGGCTTTCACGGCACTTTCCAACAATGTAACCCCTGCGATATACAGGGGATCTCCAGTACCTCACACACGTGCACGTTATGAAGCACAGTGACAATATTAGATTGCAACGACATGTGTATCACCACAAGAAGCCCTCACCCGATGCCAGTGATGCGTGTCAGGAAGTTTATGGAAGACGATGTGTCATCAAGACGAATCTGCAAGGATATATTCATGTTCAAGTTACAGTCTCTTTGTTTAGTGAGCAACAGGACACAGTGCCCATTTCTGTTCTTGGTCGAACCAGAGAAGGAATTCACTGTGGGGACCAGCCGCTCCACAGGAAGACACTGCTAATTTCCCACTGTGATATGTTTAAGCAGGCCTGAAGGAGTGAAAGGTTGAGACGAATCCTAAACTCATTATTTTCCCCATCGTGATTTGAGCTCTTTCACTACTAAGGATTCTCCATGCATACACTTATCACTCACAACGCATAGATGAGTGCATGTGCTCAAAATAATCAGTCAAACAGGTCAGACACAGCTCTGCTCGTGGGGTTTTACATTAGTACCATTCATGTTACCTTTTCCAGCTTTTGTAACTTCCCTGTTGACAGGAACTCATCAATCTTCTTTGCGATTTGCACCCCAACACCTTCCTGCCGAGATACAAAAATATCTTGTCTCATGAACTTGCTCACCCATCTCCCACTTATTCATCCATAAATCCATGTACTTACCAATCTAACAATCCATCCACTTATCACACAATAGATTCTTTACTTGTACAGTACACACTCTTAAACCCACTCAGTCACGATCGTTTATGCTAGCTGATGTAATTGCACGCAAACGTTATGAATAAAGAATGTTAGCTCCCCAACATTCAAGTAAATAGTTACAACTCTTTTTAGAATTAAGTAACTTGTGGCGGAATGTCGGGTATTGGCTCCGCTATTTCTGCAAGGTATGTCAATTCAACACGATGCTAGCATAAATCCACAGGGTTGCAGGGCCAGAATAGGAACTAACAAGAAGCGTTATCCCCCCCCCCCCATAACAAAATCACTGTAGAGCAGAAGGTAGATGTCAATTGACCTCCTGTACATTAATGGAAACCAAAATGTAATTGTGGGACCTCAGATAATCATAGCATTGGAAATTTGGAAAAATGCATCCAGTATGCAATTCACAAATTGGGACCATAATAAGAGACAATATAGAGGATAACCAACCACACGAGCTGGATTTACAAAAGGTTTGTATACCAATGATCACATACATGGTATCAACAAATCAGTAACCTGGCAACCTGAGTTCGATATCTGGCTACGCCTCACCAAACCCAGAGTGATATCTGAACAGGTCCTGCCTGTCTCCCTCCCACACTTTACTGACCCACACTGAGCAGCAAGTATGATAAAAAAAACACGATTAACATGGTGTGGGGGGAGTCCCTTCATTTAACTGTGGATTTTCAAAGTCTTTTAAATTATTATGTATTAATATACTCAGCTCCTAACACACGTAACTTGACCCGTGACCTCCTGTCAGCAAGCCTTCGCTACTCTACGTGGTCCTAGAGTACTCTCAGTGGCACAGGTACTGCAGTAAGGTGTCCAACCACTAAGCAGTCAATAGTGGCTGTTGTTTGGCATCTTGCAATGTGTGCGAGTGTATTCATGAGTATATGGGCATGTGTTTATGTTAGAATGAGAGTGATGCTCACAAGTTGCTTGGCCTCAGAACCACTTTTGATCTTGTTTGGGTATTTTGCGATGACGGCTGCAGCTTTTCTGTAAAAACAAAATCAAATTCGCAGCATTATTACTTGTCTTCTTCTTCTTCATCGCCATCACTTAATCAGTTATCCACCATTCAGGCTGATCAATAATGTCTAAGATGATAGGAACATGTGGGATGATTACAATTAATGGACACCAAAACCTTTCCCAATCATGGATTTGACTATTGACGCAAAATGGTTTGGGATACAGTTTGCCGATCGTGCCTCTGTGGGTCGACCCTTTCATGGTTGATCGCGAGATCCCTGTATGCATCACATAAGCGTACTGCTCGCGATGATGCTGCCGCGGAAACATACGCAAGCCATCCGGTCTCCATGCAGCCCATTCGGGTCCCAGTCCAAGTGCTCCCAGCGTCCAGTGAAGCGGTGAGGTCCAGCTGCACAATTTTTCTTACTTTATCAGTGACCTTATTGATTATTTTCCAATGGCCCCGAAAAGAAAATTAAGTGGCAGTGAATAGAAGCAAAAGAAGCAGAGGAAGGTGATGTCTCGGAACGATTAAGTAGAGTTATGAAATAGACTTGTGAAAGGGGAGAGTGCAGCATCATTAACTTTATCTTTATTTTCAGGTTTACATTTACGTATACATGCACAGTACCGTACACAACCTTCATTATTTTCATTCTATACATTTGCTGTATGAGTCATATTTAACACGATTCAAAATATCATATTTTTCATTTAAACACTTCCTGTTTCATATTTGAGTTCATGGAGGGTAACATAAAAGAAAAGGAGGGGGTGTCGTATTACCAACCGTGAACCATCCCTAGTTTTCCCATTTGCTTTTGGGTTTGCGGATTTTCCGATTGCAGCAATTTTCAAGAATGTAACCCCTGCGATGGACAATGTTTTGGTGCTCTCAATCATGCTTTAGTAAACACACAATTTTAGTAATCATGGATGCAGTATGTACATGTATTTGCAGGAAACCATCCAACATTTACTCCTTCCCTATCTTGCTTACGCATGCCCTCTCTCTTTACCTTTTTCAACTCACCACCATCCAAACCTCATGTTAATTTGCATTGCTTGTAATGTTTCATTGCCACAGAAAAATACTTAATTGCAAAATTGTCTAACCCCACTTCATCTGAGAGTAGATGACTTGCTTTGCCTAACAAAAGGCTCAATTTAATAGGGGTAGTACTCCATTGCTTACCATCCACATGCAAAGTAGGAATGTAATTATTCAACCCACTGTCGATTCATAGAACTGTTATTATACTGGGAGGTGATTCAAGTATACACTGTTAAAGCATCCAGAATGTACCAAAAATTCTGAGCGTGCACCCATGCCACACCACCACCACATAATGACCACAGGTTCCAAGCAGCATCCCGCCCTGTTCTCCTTGGCCAACTAAGCAAAAAGCACATCTATTGGGGGCCATTGTTACACTTGTGACTGGTAACCATTGCGACAAAGACATATGAAAACGTGCTCTAATAATGTAAAGCGGACTTGGACAATTGACAAAGTATGACATAGAACATGCCAAGGATAAGATTTTAAAGTTTGCCAAAGAACAGAATTCAAATACTGTGATGGAAAAGTTGATGAGGATGGATTCTGAAAAGTTGAAGCAGAGAGGCTGCCACTCCGATATGGAACAAGGAACATCGTGCCACTGCTATTCTTGCTCGTGGTCCTGAACCCTTTGGCATGTATATAATTATATTTGTTTGAACTCCATTAACATTTAGCCAGAACACGAGGCTAGCCAAACCAGATCTCCCCCATATGAATTTTGTTAGTCAGCAGTACATAATGTTACTTTGCAGGTCCATATGTTGAATGTGTTTAATGTATGCATATGCATGACGGTGGTCCACTTTACTCCAGTGACCCGGGTGCTGCTGCAGGGTCCACTTTCTGCCCCGCCTCCTTCCCCCCCCCACTTCTCTCTCCCCCCCTACTGCCGAGGCTTACTATATAACCTCGTGCCACGGCAGATCTCTCGCCTACTTCAGCAGTTGTTTCTTGCTGTGGTTTGTCCCACCTGATGACGATTGCTTGTGTTGCGATCTAAACGTCGTGATCTATCATTTTTCTACCTACGTGACTTTACCGAAAGAACCAAAGAGTATTTGTAAGGAACTAGGCAAAATATGTTTCCATTGTTAGGTGAACCACGTGTTGGTGAGCTGATCCGATCATGCACCTACCACACCCGAGCACCATGCTACATCAGGAACTGTATTGACAAGGATGTCGGAAATACTATTGTGTATGTGTAGTTGTCACATGCCCTCAGCCATTAAGAACACCCTGGCCAGAGTTGTTGGCTTGGCTCCACATCACACAAGCTCTTTGAACCTTCTCAATGACATTCAATGGTTGCCAGTGCATGATAGTCAAGTTAAAGGTGTCAGCACTGGCTTTGAAGGTGAAAACCTTCGGTCAATCAACCTACCCGAGCGACGTCCGTCATTTAACTTATAAGCGCCAACACGCAACCTACGCTCATCTGGAAAGGACCTGCTGCTGTGTGTTAAACCAACTCAGCTGAAGACAGAAGAATGGAGCTTCTCATTGGTAGCCCAATGGTCTGGAAGAGCCTGCCGATTTAAGTACGGGCAACCACAATAAGTCCAGATTAAAAACAAGCTCAATCTCTCGTGCCCGTCACATCTTGTCTGGTTCTCTACTATACGTGTTTATGTCTTGGCTTTCACTGAATTATTATGCGTTATCCATTTCACGTTGATTGTGTATGCAAGGTGAGAACTAACAGTGAACGTGTATACATATGCCTGTGCCCAGCTGTGCAGCCATGATGTGTACAAATCCCAATGTGGTTTGCTTTCATACCGATAGGCGTTGTATTTGTGAATTGCACGATTCACATTTTTCTCATAGTTTGCCAGCTCTGTGAAAAAACAAAGAGCACACAAAAACAATATCATACACACAGTAGTCGTACAACAGGCACTGCAAAAAAAATTGCATCTGTAATTTGCCATTACAAGTATGACTTGTATCGTTATGTTGTGTATTATATTGAATAAAAGCAAGAGCTGCTACCACATACTGCCAGAAAGGCAAGTGTAAGCGGTAAATAATTTTTGAGTGGGTGGTGGTAAACACAGTGGTGATAATCCTTTGCTCATTCAATATCAAATCACCAGATATCGGCAATAACTTGACATGTGATAAAGAATTAAAGCTTTCGTGACTGCATAAATTACTCATTGTTTTTTTCGGTAAAGTCACATATGTAGGAATACCATAAAATTATATTAAAACAAATCAATCACGACGTTTCGACCGCAACACAAGCGATCTTCATTAGGTGTAAAAAAAAGAAAAAAACAATGAGTAACTTGACATGTCTTTTCTTTTTCTGTAACTCTGTCAATAAATTATATGATATATATGAGTACCCATGATCCTCCAATGATATTAAGTAGGGAGGGAGGGGGGATTAGGCAACAATTATGACTGCTGTTTCCTTGCAGGCATTTTTAAGAATCTGTATCTTGGCATAGCGAAGGGCTAGAGATGATGCATAACAGTGCTTTCTCTTATTCAGATTCAGAATTCACAAACCAAAGTAAAATATTATGAATAGTTGTTTAAACACACTGCATTAAATTTTGTTTAAATCACCACATAAAATACAAGAGACACTTTTTGGTGCCATTTCTATCGACATAAATGTATCTGTTAAAACAGCAAATTTAGGACTTATTGCTTTCATATTCTCAGCGATATAAGCCTCCAAAAGCAGCGATGGCCTCACATTCACTGCTCCATATTCATTCACATGTGGCACAACACGTAAATATGCATCCAAGTAAGAATTGTGGATCCCATGATGGTCTAGGACTCGTATACCTCACTACTTACTGACAATGTTACAAGAACATTTACGTCATATGACTTTTGCAAGCCCTTTTTTAGTTGACATAGATTGACCCCATAGGATATAATCACTGTTGACTTCCTGCCAAGGCTCAACCTCCAATTGTGATTAAACATGCAAGCGAATAACTGAGTCAATGCAGTCATATTGCAGCATTTTATACACAATGGCAGATGTAGCATCCCCCCAAGCCTAAATCCTGATGCCTACACATTAAATAGTCCTTCACCTCATCCCCTTAACGTTTGTGATGACGATTCAACATTTTAAACAATTTCAACTGCAGCTTCATAACGCCAGATACAAAGTGGTTCCTAATGTGATGTCAGTCTCACGAGTTTTTTGCGACGCCTGTGACATGTAAATCTGCGGGATACCAGACCAAACAACTGCTGTCCTAACCTGTATACCTGGACAGAAATGGGGTGGGAACCAGGTTAATTAATAATTTACTATTTATATTTTTCGATTTAAAGCTTTCGTGACTGCAAGGATTCATCTTCTTTGGTTCTTTCGGTAAAGTCACATAGAATGAGAATAAAATAATAAATTGATAAAATAAAATAACACAATAAAATTCTCACGACGTTTCGGCCACAACACAAGCGGCCTACATCAGGTGAAGGGACGAGACTGTCTGGAGGACAGCGCCGGAGCGAAAAAGCCACGCTCAGATCGCGACCTTTAGGCTGTGTGAGAAGAAACAAAGCGCCTTGACAAAGGAATTAGCATAGAATTTAGCATTGAAATAGCTGAGTGATTAGCTTGTGACTGGTCACAGAAATGGCTATGTTAAAGCATACACATCCACAGAGGCACCCCTTGACAAAGGAATTAACATAGAATTTAGCATTGAAATAGCTGATTAGCTTGTGACTGGTCACAGAAATAGCTATGTTAAAGTCAGAGCATACACATTCAAAGAGGCACCTAGTACAAATCAAACAGGAGAATTTAGCATTGAAATAACTAGAATTTAGCATTGAAATAACTCGTAACAGAGGAGGGGGAGACAGCTGCGGGGCGCTGTTATACTCCATGTTGTAAACCATACCATTAACCGTGGTGTGAGAGGTATTAAGAGTCAATCCCAGCGAAAGAGCTGCGGTCTGAAGGTCATCGTAAAATACAATTAAGAATGGAAATGGTTTAAAACATCTTTCCAATGGTTACTAAGCCAGAATCCATCTTCTCGGTTGAAATTGTCTCTGTGCTTGTATATGTGAATGGCCTCATGAACGAATCTCTCATGGTAGCCGGTTGGTTTGCAAAGAACCTCCGTCTTGGAGAAGTCAATGTCATGTGAGTCCACTGAATTATAACAGTGATCTGCCACGGCAGAGGAGTTCGTTCTACCGTGTTTCAAGTCTGCTTTATGTTCGCGGATGCGGTCCGAGATATGAAGAAGGATCCTCTTGTGGAGCCACTCAAAACCATCACCTTACCCTACATTGCAGGGGTCACTAAAAAGATCTCCAAAAATCCTGAATAAACACAAGATCCAGGTCCGATTCAAAACAGTACATAAAATCCGTGATCTAGTTCCATCTGTAAAAGATGCTGTTCCAGACATACAGTACCCGGACATTTATAAACTAAAGCGCCTCTGTGGTAGGAGCTACATTGGAGAAACCAAACGACATATCTCGGACCGCATCCGCGAACATAAAGCAGACTTGAAACACGGTAGAACGAACTCCTCTGCCGTGGCAGATCACTGTTATAATTCAGTGGACTCACATGACATTGACTTCTCCAAGACGGAGGTTCTTTGCAAACCAACCGGCTACCATGAGATATTCGTTCATGAGGCCATTCACATATACAAGCACAGAGACAATTTAAACCGAGAAGTTGGATTCTGGCTTAGTAACCATTGGAAAGATGTTTAAAACCATTTCCGTTCTTAATTAATTGTATTTTACGATGACCTTCAGACCGCAGCTCTTTCGCTGGCATTGACTCGTAATACCTCTCACACCACGGTTAATGGTATGGTTTACAACATGGAGTATAACAGCGCCTCGCAGCTGTCTCTCTCCCCCTCCTCTGTTCCGAGTTATTTCAATGCTAAATTCTCCTGTTTGATTTGTACTAGGTGCCTCTGTGAATGTGTATGCTCTGACTTTAACATAGCTATTTCTGTGACCAGTCACAAGCTAATCACTCAGCTATTTCAATGCTAAATTCTATGCTAATTCCTTTGTCAAGGGGTGCCCCTGTGGATGTGTATGCTTTAACTTAGCTATTTCTGTGACCAGTCTCAAGCTAATCACTCAGCTATTTCAATGCTAAATTCTATGCTAATTTCTTTGTCAAGGGGTGCCTCTGCGGATGTGTATGCTTTAACTTTAACATAGCTATTTCTGTGACCAGTCACAAGCTAGTCACTCAGCTATTTCAATACTAAATTCTATGCTAATTCCTTTGTCAAGGCGCTTTGTTTCTTCTCACACAGCTTAAAGGTCGCGATCTGAGCTGGCTTTTTCGCTCCACCGCTGTCCTCCAGACAGTCTCGTCCCTTCACCTGATGAAGGCCGCTTGTTTTGTGGCCGAAACGTCGTGAGAATTTTATTGTTATTTCATCAATTTATTATTTTATTCTCATTCTACGTGACTTTACTATTTATATTTTTGTTTTTCATTTTGACTCTCTGCATTGCAGCATGTGTGATTAGGTGCATATATTCAGAAACCACCGCACAGATCATTTTAAATGATCATTTAAGAGATAACTACATTATCTGCAGCCACAATTTCTAACACTATACATGCAGTAACATTTCAGTTCAGTTCATTTATTAGAACTATCAATTTATACTGGTAGGAACGAAGTTGTAAACTGAGTGTACCAGCCTGCAATAGATTAATGTGTCCGTCCGTCCCCTTTCAATACTTTAACAAAGTGAAATCTCATGCTGTTGGGTGTAAAACAAATTCCAATGTTCCTACCAGCCCACCCTGCAGGGACCTGTTTCCACCGTAACTAACACGGCCATAAAGTATTTAGGAAACTATGAGATCAATAACAATATCAGATTCCAAATAAATCTATGGCACATTTTATGATGCGCTATATCGTACAAGTGGCTAGGTCTCAAGTGTTACATGCGAAATATTAAAGTCTGAAGTTTAATAAAGCATGAAAATGCCGAGAAATCCCATCACAACATAACTTGTCCGGGGGTTGACCATCACTGCTTACTAAATATTGTTGGTGCCCTAAGCCAGGAGGACCACAATGCTCTTCTTCAGGAACTGCTTAAAAGGTTTTTTTAATCATGCTTATTACACATTTGTTGTGTTTAAGCACATCTGCCTACATTATAAACTAACGGGTGTAAGATGTAAGTTGAATGGAAACTCTACACTCCAATAGCCACAACAATAAGCCACATTATTGATTCTGAACTACATTTTCCCCGAGTCTCATATGAACTCGAAGAACTCAAACTATCCAACACGTACACTGTGCTGAGATATTATTCAATGATCGCAAACCACGCTACGGTCCTTCACACAGCTGCCTTCTTCAGTCTCAACGTTCCAACAACCGTCCCAATACCTTACTCACAACCCATTATGGGCACGACCTTTGACGCAGATTACGCGGGAGAATTTCTATCGTCACGGTTATGATGGTGGTGTTTATAACCGTGTGTGTGGGGGGGTGGGAAGGGGAGGTTGGCGATATCAACAGCGGAGCGAAACAAAGAAGACTGAAGGGTTTACCAAAGAGGAAATCTGTTATGCCCTCATTGAGAGTCTCCTGCGGCGCCTTGCGCTTGCTCATGGCTCCGTCCACGCAGCGACGCCAACCACGGGCAACTGAGAATCGCGCCCGTACACCAGGCGACGACTACGACGACGAAGAAGACGAAGACTACGACGATGACGAGCGGTGCCACCCGTCTCTCTCTCTCCCCACGAGGAGCTGGGGCCGTGCAGAGGCCGTGCGGGGAGTGTCCGGGAGGGAGGAGCCGGCCCGGGAGGGAGGAGCCGGCCCGGGAGGGAGGAGCCGGCCCGGGAGGGAGGAGCCGGCCCGGGAGGGAGGAGCCGGCCCGGGAGGGAGGAGCCGGCCCGGGACGGAGGAGCCTGCCCGGGAGGGAGGAGCCGGCCCGGGAGGGAGGAGCCGGCCCGGGACGGAGGAGCCTGCCCGGGAGGGAGGAGCCGGCCCGGGAGGGAGGAGCCGGCCCGGGAGGGAGGAGCCGGCCCGGGAGGGAGGAGCCGGCCCGGGAGGGAGGAGCCGGCCCGGGAGGGAGGGGCCGGCCCGGGAGGGAGGAGCCGGCCCGGGAGGGAGGAGCCGGCCCGCCTCTCCCCGCACTAACGCGATCCGTGATTGCCCCGCAGCCACCACAGCGGTTGCTGGGGCGGCGCGGGGATTGGCCAGCAGGGACCCCTCCCCCCTACATCGGGACCCCTCCCCCTACATCGGGACCCCTCCCCCCCACCCCGGGACTCCTCCCCCCCACCCCCCCCACCCCCTTCGGCCCGGGTCGTTGCGGCGCCGTGTGAATCCACTCACTGCTGGACGGCGCCGCCGCCGCCTCCTCGTCATGACGCCGTGCGATGTCGGTCGCGGGAGTTGTTGTTGTTGTCGTCGTCCTTCGCCGTGATTGGCGATTGCGGGTTGAAGGGGGAAGGGATTGAGTGGCGGCGCGGCGCGACCCGTGGGCAAACAGGGGGGGGGGGGGTACTCAAACACTCCCAGGGCCCCCCGTGGTGTGTCTGTGTGGTGGGTTTAGTTTGTGAGTGTGAGGGTTGTGTGTGTGTGGTGGGTTTAGTTTGTGTGGGAGTGTGAGGGTTGTGTGTGTGGTGGGTTTAGTTTGTGTGGGTGTGAGAGGGTTGTGTGTGTGGTGGGAGTGTGAGGGTTGTGTGTGTAGGAGTGTGAGGGTTTTGTGTGTGTGTAGGAGTGTGAGGGTTGTGGGAGTGTGAGGGTTGTGTGTGGGAGTGTGAGGTGTGAGGGTTGTGTGTGTGTGTGGGAGTGTGAGGGTTGTATGTGTGTGTGTGAGGGTTGTGTGTGTGTGTAGGAGTGTGAGGGTTGTGTGTGTGTGTAGGAGTGTGAGGGTTGTGTGTGTGTGGGAGTGAGGGTTGTGTGTGTGCGGGAGGGTTGTGTGTGTGTAGGAGTGAGGGTTGTGTGTGAGGGTTGTGTGTGGGAGTGTGAGGGTTGTGTGTGTGTAGGAGTGTGAGGGTTGTGAGTGTGAGGGTTGTGTGTGTGTGAGGAATGAGGGGTGTGTGAGGGAGTGTGAGGGATGAGGGTTGTGTGTGTGGTGGGTTTAGTTTGTGTGGGAGTGTGAGGGATGAGGGTTGTGTGTGGGTGTGGTGTGAGGGTTGTGTGTGTGTAGGAGTGTGAGGGTTATGTGTGTGGAGGAGTGTGAGGGTTGTGTGTGTGGGAGTGTGAGGGTTGTGTGTGTGTCGGAGTGTGAGGGTTGTGTGTGTGTGTAGGAGTGTGAGGGTTGTGTGTGTGTGAGGGTTGTGTGTGTGTAGGAGTGTGAGAGTTGTGTGTGTAGGAGTGTGAGGGTTGTGTGTGTGGGAGTGTGAGGGTTGTGTGTGGAAGTGTGAGGGTTGTGTGTGTGTAGGAGTGCGAGGATTGTGTGTGTGGGAGTGTGAGGGTTGTGTGTGTGTAGGAGTGTGAGGGCTGTGTGTGAGGGTTGTGTGTGGGAGTGTGAGGAATGAGGGGTGTGTGAGGGATGAGGGTTGTGTGGGTGAGGTGTGAGGGGGAGTGTGTGGGGGGGAGTGTGTGGGTGAGGGAGTGTGTGGGGGGGGGGGGGTGTGAGGGGGAGTGTGAGAGTGTGTGAGGGGGAGTGTGTGGATGAGCGAGTGTGTGTGGGTGAGATGTGAGGGGGAGTGTGTGTGGGTGAGGGAGTGTGTGAGAGTGCGTGAGGGGGAGTGTGAAGGTGAGGGAGTGTGTGGGTGAGGTGTGAGGGGGAGTGTGTGAGAGTGTGTGGGTGAGGGGTGTGAGGGGGAGGGTGTGGGTGAGGGAGTGTGTGTGTGGGTGAGGGAGTGTGTGAGAGTGTGTGGGTGAGAGAGTGTGTGTGGGGGGGGGGGGGGGGAGAGTGTGTGAGAGTGTGTGGGTGAGGTGTGAGGGGGAGTGTGTAGGTGAAGGAGTGTGTGGGTGGGGGGGTGTGAGGGGGAGTGTGTAGGTGAGGGAGTGTTATGGCGGTGTGTGGTGTTTGTGTGTGGATGATTGTGCATGTAAGTGGCGTTAGAGTATCATTCTAGATTTGAAGTTTTCGTGACAGCAAGGATCCATACTCTCATTTTAAATCGAGGGAATAAAGGTCTGGCACTTTTGGACCAAACTGTTTATTGCAAAAATAATATTTTGCTTCCAGCTTTGTAAATATACATAATCTGCGATATTTTCTTAGTTAAATAATGCATATGTGCACATTTGGAAACTTAACCAATATTAACGTCAATCTTCATTCGTAAAACTAAAACCTTAAAAGCATTTCCCTGTTGTTGCACTCTGTACTGTTGAGCACAGGCTCGGCGGTATCCCTGGCATGTCCTCGCATGTCTCCCAGTCCCCCCCACCGCCATGTGTCCCCTGTTGCGTCTCCACGTGTCGCCCCGTCCATGTGCTCGTGTGCAGGTCATCGAAGAGGGTGGGACCCAGGCTGCGTGCTCCGAGGACGGGCTGGCTCGGTTCCGTGACGAGTTCAAGGTGGTGGGGGACGTGCGCGGCAAGGGGCTCATGATTGGTGTTGAACTTGTCACCGACATGGTACGATTGCAGACGCGCACATGCAGACGAATGCAAACGCAGGGTGCGTGGGCACGCCTCATACATGCGCCGTGTTCGAGTGCCGCTATGCTGTGCGCTTGCTCAGGCCAGCAGGACGCCACTTCCGGCGGCGCAGATGAACGAGATCTGGGAGGACTGGAGTGGAAAGGATGGCATCTACGGACAGGTGAGGCCGGAGGGGGGGGGGGCAGTTGCAGGGTGGTGGGGCTTCCGAGTGGGGATGGAGGTCTTGTGGCGATGGCAGGATCACAGGAGTGGTGTGTGCCCTGGTGCCACAGGTGTTCCGCATCAAGCCGCCCATGTGCATTGCCACTGCCGCTGTGATGCACAGGGCCCTGAGCAACCAATGCAAGCGCCAAGCCGCCTAGACCCGGTCGTGCCACCGCACAGCAGCCCCCGCCGCACAGCCACTCGACGCAACTACACCAGCCTACTACACAACACCACCACCGCCACCATTTGGCCACACCATGTTGTAAAACCACCTAACTGCACTACACAGCCACACAATACTACCACAACCGTCACTTAGTCACATTCTGCAACCATCATAAATGGCCACCACCACCATGTGGTTACACCAAGTGACTACCCAACTATCCCACCCCACACCCATTCCACCTTTTTCTTTTTAAAGGCCGAACATGAGCGCAGGCCAGCAACAAAGCAGCACTTTGTTTTGAATTCCAGATGTGAACGAACACACGACTGGTCTTGAGGCCAAGCTATGGAGACTTCAGAGATGGGGATGACGCAGAGAGACGACACTGATGATAGCACAGCAGATAAGAACAAGTGTCTCGATTTGAGCAAGGTTATAGCAACTTGAGAAACAGAGGATGGGGGAGGGGGAGGTCCAAGGTAGAGGAGCAGTGCAGGGGGAAGGAGGAAGAGAGAAACGTGAACCAACGTGGTTGAGCACGGCAGGGACAAAACAGGTCCTTAGCATGGGCAGAGGTGTAATGGCGCCAGGTTCATGGAAACAATGATGGTGGAATTAGCGATAAAACAAAGGGGGAGATTAGGCCACTAAACAACGTGAGAGTAAGCACAGAATCATCAATTATTCGAACGACTTCACGTTGCTTGTGCGACGCAGAGTTGGGTGCTCCTGTTCAACAGGAACTCAACTACACCTGCCAGCCACACCACACCACCTCCCCAGCACAAGGAGCCAAGCCCAATCAATGCTACTTAAATCCACACCATTCAATCCATCAGCCTTACTCACACCACCTCACCTGACCCACACCACCTCACGTTGCCTACACTAGCCAACTCTCACAGCTCCGATCCCCCAATGACAGCCACAACACAGTGATTCGTAAAAAAGCAAATATGAAAATAAACAAACTCCCGCTACCGTGTCGCGAGTGTATTTCTGTGAAAGCGGCCCACGTTCTCACGAGCTTAGAGAGAGATGGGTTGCAGTACGATTCTACAGAGCAGCAGCAGCATTTGAAACGACAGGATCCGCTTGGCCCAGGTGGCGCCAAAGCTCCCAGCTGGACCACCACCCCCACCCTACCGTCACTAAGAATTGACCCTCACCCCTACATCACACAGCACCACCACAGATTGCACATGCAACGCCGTGACTTTACAGTGTTTATCTCCGCAAAAATAATTACAAGGCTGGTTAAGAGGCGGACGGGCGGACGGGCGGTTGTGCGGCTATTTCCGCTTGTGTTTGCCCTTCTTGCCGGGTGCTGCTGGCGCCGTGGGGGGCGTGAGGTCGGAGGTGCGGGGTGCAGCGTGCTTGGTGCTACGTAGGTGCTGGAACAGCCGGTTCCGAGAAGAGAAAGCCTGCCCGCAGGTGTCGCAGCCCAGAGATTCCTGCAGTGGCACCGGCAAACATACACGGGTCATGCCGGCGGCTTAAATGTGGCACGGCGAGCATGGGTGGTGTGGGTGCGGTGAGCGAGGCACGGGTGCGTTAGAGACTGGTGGGTGAGCGTGGCGACGTGGGTTCCGTAATGGGGAAGAATGGTAAGGGTGTGTGTGCGAAGCAGTGTGGAGAAGTGTATTTTTTTAGGTGGTGTAGTGAAGTTGTGGGGTAAATGGTGACGAAGGGCATTGATCAGTGTGCCGAGAGTGTATTGAGATAAGTGGTGTATGGTGTGAAGTGAGGGTTTGTGAGGGTGTTGCCGACAGTACACTGTGTGGAGAGGGTGGCAAGGTTGTTGTGGTGAGCTGTGTTGAGCACCTGGCTGGTGCTGGGCTCACTGGGCGGGGGAACATCCTTGTTCTTCTTGCCCTTGCGTCCATCCTCCCTGCGGACAGTCTCCCCATTAGCCACAGGCACACCCCCCCCCCCCACCACCGCGTGCCCCGCCCCAATGTCTCCCTGCTGTGTGCGTCACATGGGCCTCACCTGGAGCTCGTTGCGTCGCCACCTTTCCTCGCCCGCTTCCCCTCCTCCCTCGTGCGCTCAGTCCTCTCCTCTTTCTTGCCCGCCACCTCTGGTGCCCCCGGGGGGCCTTCCCTTCCTGGGGAGTCCTCCGAGGTGGGTGCCGGGCACGGTGCGCCGTGGTCGTCGGGCCTGGCGTCGTGGTCGCCGTGTGCCATTCCGTCTGCGTGCGCGATACCGTTAGTCTGTGCGGTGTCTTGGTTGGGCGCGGTGCTGGCAGTGCTGGGGATGTGCGGTTCGAGGTTGGGTGCAGTGCTGGGGGTGTGCGGTGCGTGGTGAGTGGCATCGGTGCTCCGAGCGGATTTCACTGGGCCCCGTCGTCTCCTCGCATCAGTCTTGGGCATCTCCTCCTCTTCATCGCCGTCATCATCATCATCATCATCGTCGTCTTCGTCGTTGTCATCATCTCCATCATCAGCATCCTCAGCTTCCAAATTATCACCTCCATCATCTTTCCCACCTCCATCATCTTTCCCACCTCCAACATCAGCAACTTCCACCTTCCATGACACAGCAGGGAGCAGCAACAGCAGAGTTAGGATAAAGGATAACACAAGACAGATGGTAGGGACAAGTTGAGAAGGGCATGGTGAGGAGGGTATAGTAATAAAGGACATGGTGAGGTCATGGTGTGGTCAGGATGATGACAGGTGAGGACACGGTGAGGACACGGTGAGGGCAGCACCTGGAGCCCCGCTCCGGACAGGAACGCGAACTCCTCGGCTGTCATCTGCTGCCGTAGCCATGCCACGTTGTCTCGGTGCTTCTTGGACCGGTCGTGGTTCTCCTTCCTGAGCCACAACACGAGAGACCGCACCGCGCGCACCGCACTACCGTGATCAACTGTGATTAGCACCTATGAAGACCGGCACGGCACATGAGGGGGTGGGTGGCCAGAACCACGCCAGGCCACCTTTGTCTCCCATAGTGGCGATATTTTACGCATCGGACAAAGTACTTATTTGAGGCTGAGTCGATCTAGGGGAGGCCCTGGACCGGTTCAAATAATCGTCACTGGTGTTGACCCGTGAGCGGGAATCGAAACTTGGGTCGCTGGGTTCGTGTAGCAGCGCATGATCCGCTGCGCCACCGCTTCCCATACCACCACCACCACACACACCGCCACCCCACGCCCCAGTGGGCCTGCACAGGAGTAGTACTCACGCCTTGAGGCTCTTGAAGGCCTTGCTGCAGGCCGCGCAATACAGCTCAAAGTCTTCCCAGTCCCGCGCAGCCTCCTCTGCACGCCAAACGTGGGATGGAAGAGGGGCGGGCGCATTGCACGCATGAGTCCCGCACAGAGAACGCACAGCAGGCGTTCTCCCAGGGCGCTGCAGTGGCTAGATGTTAACGATCTCGCCTGGTAAAGAGGTCGTGGGTTTGAGCCCGACCTGGAGTTTTTGCATGTTTCTCCACCCGTGGCCGTGTGGATTTTTCTCCGGGTCCTCCACTTTTTCGCTCAACATTTATAATCAACATGCGTTTAGAGTATTTGGCTGATATACATTTCCACGTGATAAGCCACTTCGTTGATCTATCGATTGTAGCCAGATCGCTTCTGAACAAGAGTAATATAGCTCGGTGGGCTTTAACTGGTAAAATAAAAAAGTAACGTTTTTTATAGGAGCCAGCACAGGGTCATGGGTGATGGAACGCTGGTAGGGAAGCCGGGTAGTGCTGGGTGGGTGCCAGTTTTCCGGTAGGTTCACTGGTAAGGTGCTGTGGTGTTACGTCGGGTGCCACGTGCGGTGGTGACCTGGCTCTGCGGACGTGGCTGGGTCGTGACTGGAGTCATCCCCGTCGCTGGCCGGCTCCTCCCCAAACTCGTGCTGGTAGCTCTCCTCGAGGGCAACCAGCTCCTTCTCTAGCCCATCCAGACACACCCAGCTGGGCTGCTCATAGCCCTCAGCCAGCCTGGGATGCAACAACAACAGCATGAGCAGCCGCTACTCTCCACTAGCTCGCGGTTACGTCACTACCAGGGCTTGTGCTATTTCTAGGCGCGCTTTGAGGCCGTCGCGGCAAGTGTGGAAGGCCCTCACCGTTGCCAAGAGGTCACAGGACAAACCCAGCAGTTATCGGTCAATAGCATGAGATTACTGGTACATGCGCACTGCCTGTGCATACTGAGATGCACACAGAGGCGGACACGCACACACAAGCAGACAAACACGCACGGAGACAAAGGTTCCCCTTTTATCCTGAACAGACTGGCGGGGCAAGTGCTGTTGGCGTGTAGCTATGAAGGTCTGCACGGCACGAGGGGGTGGGTGGCCAGCACCACGCCTGCCCGCCTTTGTCTCCCCAGTGGCGATATTTTTACAAAACGCACCAGGTAGTAATTTGACGCTGAGTCCACCTAGGGGACGGGGTCAGGACCGATTCAGATAATCGTCATGGGTGTTGGTCGTGAGCGGGAATCGAACTCGGGTCTCCGGGGTTCGGAGGAGAGCGAGCTGACCGCTGCACTGCCGCTCCCCACACAGTGTGCCCGAGTGCGCCACACGTGCGCTTTCAATGCACGTGTTCCGATGTTCGTGTTCCCGTGTGCAACGTGCCTGGCTCTCTCCGCCTTCTGCCGCCGGCGCGCCTCCTGCGACCGCCGCGCCCTCTCGGCGTTGTGCTCCTCCAGCACGCGTTTGTGCGCGGCGACGCGGGGGTCTCGCTTGCGCGCGAACGCCACAAGCTCCCGCACGGCCTCGGAGCGCTCGCGCCGCGCCCGCTCCCGCAGCTTGCGGTTCTCCTTCTCCATCGCGCGCTTCTCCCACCGGTTGCTCCCCTGCGCCGCCGTGCATCCAACGTTAATCGCGGTGACCGCACCGTTGCCGCGGGAGGGATGAGGGAGGGATGTGGGGAGGGGGGGGAGGGAGGTGGAGGAATGAGGGAGGGAGGTGTAGGGATGAGGGAGGGAGGTAGGCCTAGGAATGGATGAGGGAGGGAGGTGAAGGGATGAGAGAGGGACTCACCTGCCGCGTGTCGTAGGTTTCCTTCCACGAGAACAAGCGGCGCGAGCTGAAGCTCTGCCAGTACGCATAGAACACGTGCACCACCTGCACAGCGCCGTCACCCCATCAACACCAAACACAAAATCACACGGTCAGCACCACTGCCTCCATTCCATCATTACAATCGCCGTCGCACCTTCACCGGAGCCAATGTCAGACCACAGGCGCCACCAACATCGCATCACAGTCGCGCCTCCGTCAAAAAATTCCACCAACACCACCATCACACTTTCGCGAGCTGCACAATCACGATGCAACTGCACGAGCTGCGCTACTGCCAGCATCACAGCAGCATCAAATAATCAGCAACATCACACTTCCACCAAACCATCACGATAAACATCATGCAGCACCATTCCCCCCCCCCCACCACCCCCACCACCACCGCTGTCATGGTTACCGTCTCGTAGTCGCTGCCCGCGTCTCCGAACGACGGAAACTCATCGTCGGCGTCGTCCTCCACGAACTCCTCCTCCGCCACCTCCTCAAACACGCTGCGGTAGACGGTGTAGAAGCCCTGCGGCACACCGAGATGGTTCCGGAGAGAAGCGACAAGACGACAGGGATGGTTTAACGCAGGGGAGGAGGAAACCCACGGCCGGAGGCTTCGTTCCACACGACACGTAGCTTCAGTACGGCCTGGTCGCCATGTTTTGCAGGGGGGCGCAGTGGACATATATGGCCCCCTACCTCTTCAAAACGGGCCCGCACGCAAACATTTATCCGTCGCTGCTAGCATCTTATTCGCGCTGATCGGGTACTTGAGGGGAATATTTTGTTGACCAACACTGTTTCTAATCTTCGTACGCTCAGTCACTGCAAGGGCCCGTGACTGTACTGTGTGTGTGTGTGATTTCCACCAAGGGCATTTGAGAAAGTCCGATTTGGCCCTTGTTTCACACCGTTGGTTTAGCATTAGCTGGCAAGTGACCTGGCGCTGGAGACGGGTGTCTGGGGGGCCCCTGGTGGGAGGCAGGAGTGGGGTGGGGGGGGGCTCACCTTGTTGTCGTCGCCAAAGCCGCTGTAGCAGGAAGCGGTGAAGTATGGCATGAGGTCGAGGCTGTCGTCGGAGAATTCCCCACCAGACATGGCGCCCTGCAGGATGGCTTCCCTGTGCGCGTCGTACCTGCAGCCACACCGCAGCGCCACCGCACACACACATCACCGCCAACATCATCAGCACCATCACCGGTACCACCACCACAAATATATCCAGCAACATTCATCGCTACACACATCAGCACCATCACTGCAGGGGGCACGACACAGTCGACGTTCAACAAACTTTAAATAAATGTTCAACTCTAAAAGAAAATGAGCAACGAGGTGGTCTGCTTTTTACGTTTCGTGGATTTTGCTCTCGCGCTCAACCACAAAGTAGTAACCCTTATTACAGCTTCAATAGTGCTGTTTGTGGAGGCTGTGGTGGTGGTTGTAGTGGTTGCTATGGTGGTGGAGGCCGTGGTAGTGGTGGCTGTGGTGTTTTCTATGGTGTTTGCAAGTGTTTGCTATGGTGGTGGCTGTGGTGGCGGCTACAGTGGTGACCGGGTCGCACCATGCGCGCTCCTGCGCATCGCTCAGGACGTCGTACGCCGCCTGGATCAGCTTGAACGTCTCCGTGGCCTCCTCCACATTGTCGGCGTTCTTGTCTGGCACACGTGGACAAAGGTTCAAGATTACTTCGTGTAACCAAGTGAGAACTCAAGACCGGACCAGGATAGAGAAGTCTCATTTGCAGGAAGTGCCCTGGGGGCATTAGTCTGCCAGAAGGGGGCAATGACTGCTGCTGCTGCTGCTGTGTGATCCCAATTGAGTAATTTGCGGTGTAATCGAATTTGGATGCGGACTCCGGCACACAACGGCCTACTCTTGCCAATGACATCGGTGGATCTTTATCGTCCACTGCGAGTGACTGGGACTGCGAGTAGATTACGGTCAATACACACCGCAGTATTAACCAGGGCCGCAGCGGGATTCGAACCACGAACCTCTCATTGTCACACACATCAACAGCCACTAATATACAAAGATGCCCCGTATAGCCTGAACAGACTGTTGGGGCAGGTGCTGTTTGCGAGCACCTATGAAAGCCGACATGGCACACGAGGGGCTGGGTGGCCAGCACCATGCCCTGCCGCCTTTGTCTCCCCAGTGACGATGTTTTAACACACTGCACCAGGTACTCATTTGAGGCCGAGTTGTCTTACATGCACACACACACGAACATAAAATGAAACACACATTAATATAACCGTAATTCGCCACTATATGCCAGTGACGTCACCACGGCGCATGTGCCAGGCTCGGTGCACCTTGACGCCACGTGAAGCGTCGAAGGCTCGCCGACACGTCAACAAATTAATCTACAAAAGGAGACTGACTTTTTGAGTTCTTAACATACATTTGTTATCATGTTACAGTGTATTATCCGTTCTTTTTCAATTAAAAACGATAGTCCCATTTAAGTGGTAAGAACAAATTAGAAGCACCGCGTGTACACACCAACACGTGCACACACCAACACGTGCACACACCAACACGTGTACACACCAACACGTGCACACACTAACACGTGTACACACCAACACGTGTACACACCAACACGTGCACACACCAACACGTGCACACACCAACACGTGCACACACCAACACGCGCGCACACACCAACACGCGCGCACACACCAACACGTGCACACACCAACACGTGCACACACCAACACGTGTACACACCAACACGTGTACACACCAACACGTGTACACAGCAACACGTGTACACACCAACACGTGTACACACCAACACGCGCGCACACACCAACACGCGTACACACTAACACGTGCACACACCAACACGTGTACACACACCAACACGCATCACCACGTGAACCCCTCCAGAACACTTCTTGCTTGGGTTCTCCATCGCAAGGTCCGCTTGAAGGAGCAATAAATATAATCGGTCCCTAATTGGTGAGTAATTATAATCGGGCGCGAATTGGGTCTCGCCGGGAAATCGGGCCCTAGGGAATGCTTCTGGGTCCCAGGCGTCAAAGCCCCCCCCCCACGCCGTGTGTAGAGTCCCTGATCCCTGGGTCTCCTACGGAGATTCCCGAGTACAGTTCCCGTTGGAGGAGGGGTCCACGCGTCCCACTGACAGCGATCCCCTGGGCACGCTTGAGAGGGGCCTTCGTGAGAGGGGTACCGTGGGTCTCCCGTGAGAGGGGTACCATGGGTCCCCCGTGAGAGGGGTACCGTGGGTCCCCCGTGAGGGGTACCGTGGGTCCCTCGTGAGAGGGGTACCGTGGGTCCCTCGTGAGAGGGGTACCGTGGGTCCCTCGTGAGAGGGGTACCGTGGGTCCCTCGTGAGAGGGGTCTCTGTCCCCCGTGAGAGGGGTCTCTGTGTCCCCCGTGAGAGAGGGGTACCGTGGGTCCCCGTTAGAGGGGTCCCTGTGTCCCCCGTTAGAGGGGTCCCTGTGTCCCCCATGTGTACCTGGATGCCATTGTAGCGCCAGGCGCCGGTAGGCCTTCTTGAGCTCTTCGTCCGACGCGTTCCTCGCCACCCCGAGCACCTCGTAGTAGCAGCGCATGGCAGGCATCCCTGCTCGTCGCAAACCGCTGGGATCTAGGGGTAGACCTAAGGGGGTGAGTGGAGACCCACGGAGAGCACTGGGACCTAATGGGGGGGCCCTTGGGACCTAATGGGGGCCCTTGGGACCCAGGCAGCGCAAGGCCGAACACGCGACCCAGCTGGCTGAGCCGGGTGATGACGTTGACAACTACGGGTCGTGCCGAGGACAAAGCTGAACGTAAGAACGCGATTTTTTTTTATTTCTTCAGACGGTGGTGCTTTTTGCTTTGAAAAAATATATATAATCGGTTTCTAACCCTTTTCTGACTATTAAACGGTAGTTGTGTTAGGATGTTCAAACACCAAAAAGAAGATGTTCAGGTGTTAAGATGCAGAATATTATCAGGGCGTGTTTTAGTTTTGCATGTTCACCACAAGTTGGTGTGGTTAATGAAGACTTGATTTATTGCTAAAGGTTGATCTATTTTTGGTTTATCTATTTTTAACATCTTAGCACACTTATTTTGTTTTATTGCCAGAAAGGGTAAACACATTCTTACGTTGTCATACTTTGATACTGGTAAAAAAATATCCCTTTTTATCGCTGCTCACCCCGACCTATCAATACTCTTAAAGTGCATTGCCCTTGTACTGTTCGCCGTTTGGCGTTCTCTGGTCTGACACTGGTGGTGAGACTCGGCCCTAATGAAGGCTGCTGCTGTATCTGGTATAGGCCAATCAGTCTCACAGACAACGCCTGTACAGTATATTATCAAAGCACGTTTGTTTGCATGTTCAACACAAATACGTATGGGTAATGCAGATTGGATTCCTTGCTAAACGTTGATCTGTTAACACAAATTTCTGTTTCATTGCCAGAAAGGGTAAACACCTATTCATATTTTTTCATACTTTGATACTATTAAAAAAGTCCCATTTTGTGCTCTACCTTATCCACACGGTGATAGTGTAATTGACACGTGCGTACAAAGGTTCCGTGTGACCGGATTGGTGTATTAAACGTAGCAAATCATCATGAACGCTCATCGATCCACAGCAATTGTTTTTCTTATTCTTCTCAGCAGCATTTGTTTAAAACAGAAAAAAATACGTCTGGGCTTCAACTACGATTAGCGCGGTTGGCCTACATACGGTGTGCAAAAAGTTCAACATACAGGGCCTCCCCTACTTACGAAAAAGTTAGGTTCCAGAGGTCTGTTCGTAAGTCTAACTTTACTCCTGTGGAGTCCAAACGTGTTGTATGGCGTGTACACTAAACACGGAGAATGTAGATGTCACTGGTTCTTCACGTTCTGCAGATGTAGATGCCACTGGTTCTTCACGTTCCGCATATGTAGATGCCACTGGTTCTTCACGTTCTACAGATGTAGATGCCACTGGTTCTTCACGTTCTACAGATGTAGATGCCACTGTTTTTCACGTTCTGCAGATGTAGATGCCACTGTTTTTCACGTTCTGCAGATGTAGATGCCACTGGTTCTTCACGTTCTACAGATGTAGATGCCACTGGTTCTTCACGTTCTGCAGATGTAGATGCTACTGGTTCTTCACGTTCTGCAGATGTAGATGCCACTGGTTCTTCACGTTCTGCAGATGTAGATGCCACTGGTTCTTCACGTTCTGCAGATGTAGATGCCACTGGTTCTTCACGTTCTACAGATGTAGATGCCACTGGTTCTTCACGTTCTGCAGATGTAGATGCCACTGGTTCTTCACGTTCTGCAGATGTAGATGCCACTGGTTCTTCACGTTCTACAGATGTAGATGCCACTGGTTCTTCACGTTCTGCAGATGTAGATGCCACTGGTTCTTCACGTTCTACAGATGTAGATGCCACTGATTCTTCACGTTCTGCAGATGTAGATGCCACTGGTTCTTCACGTTCTGCAGATGTAGATGCCACCGCCGCCATCTATCGCGCGGCCGTTGAACTTTCGACTCTCGGTCCGAACAGCCGCAACTGGACGTAATGGACCAGGTTTGTTCATATCTCTGAAAGTTCGTAAGTCGAATGTTCGTAAGTAGAGGAGTATCTGCATGCACGTAAGTGTGCGGCGATGTATTACTGCAAAAACATACACCGAGACAAATCAAGAGGAACGCAACGGATCGGGAACAACGAATGCCGATGGGAGACAACGTTGACCATTCGGAATAGTTAAGCCGGCTCGGGGAGAGGACACGCACAGCACGGCCTCGGAGAAATAACGGGCCAGTGGACGAGACTTGGAGACGGAACGGCAACCAAGAGTGAGCGGGAACGAGAAGTCGACTGCCGTCGCAAGGTGGAGCGATGGGATCAGCCTCTCGTGCGCAGGAGCCAGACGCATTTAGTGTCATCGCGAGCCGGTCGAGTTGCCGTTGCTCCGGAGACCCGGGGAATCGTTGGTTGATGTTCGGCTGTCGGGTTGATGGCATCGGCCGACGTTTGTCCCATCTTCCGATTGAGAGGGCGAGATACAGCGATGGCGTGGGGAGGCATTCGTCTAGCAGCAGTGGATAGATCATGGCTGATGTTCCCATTTCAAATCCTACTTATCCCCCCCACCCTCGCCGGCCCCGTGCTGGTTATAACACAATGTTACGTCTCGGGGTGGAGATTCAATTCGTGAAAAACGTATGTTGACATTGCAGAGAATTGTAGCGCCTCCAGTGTCTGCAAGGGCAATGGTGTGAAGTCATTAAATACAGTGCGTACAAATCGAAAAAGACATTTTCATTCTTACGTGATTTGATGCATCGTCATGGGATAGAGAATTCAGATTAATCATTGCACCCCCTACTCAATGTCCATCGCGATAGCGCATTAACACACACGCGTCCGTAGTTCATGTCAAAGCGCCGAGGTCATTGGCGGAAACTCCAGGTATAGTAAATCACCGAGCGCCGTCCCAGGCCTCGCATGTGAACACGAATCGTTTTATTTCATCGCGACCCTTTCGAGAGAAAAAAACGCTCCTCCACTGCCGTCGGAGCCGCAATGAAAAGCGCTCATTCACACACCCACGCGTTCGACCGGGGCCCACAGCCCACATTCCTGTGTGGACAGGGGCCCGTCGGGTCAAAGGGGTCCCTAAGCATCACACAGGGACCCAATAGTCAGAGAGCAGGGACAGATAAACAGGGACAGATAGCAACAATCAGGGTCGGGACAGAGAACTCCAGGGCTCAGACAAGAGCCCCCTGGGTTAGATAGGGACCCTCTAGTTCAGAAGGGGACCTAGAGGCTCAAGACGGGGATCCAGATACCAGGGAACGGGTCCTCTGGGCGAACACAGAGACCCCATGATCGGCACGCAGTCCCCCGACCAAGAACGGATGTTGTGGAGCCAATCTGGGCAAAACAAACTGAACTCCCCCCGGCTGAGCAGGGGCCCCTACTAGGCAGAACACGGGTGCCAGCGGAGCCACCGCAGGGGTCTCCGGGGCAGAATGCACCACCCGGCGCTGAGCACGAGATGCACCGAATCTGACCGAAGCCGCCTCTGGGGCGGGAACCGGCGACGACACGGGCCCACGGCTGCAAGGGGCGCCAGCGCCCCCTCAGCGTAACGAGCGAGAGAGAGCGCGCGCGCGCGTGTCCCGGACCAGGGAACGCGGTGGGGAAGGTGGCGGCTCCCCATCGCGACTCAGGGCGCCGGCGCCGTCAGCTGCGCGTGCATGCGCGCCAGCACGTGCTGGACGCTGGCGAAGCTGGGCCGGTCGGCGGGCGCGTGCGCCCAGCACAGGCGCATGAGGTTGTAGAGGTCGAGCGGGCACCCGTCGGGGCACGCGAGCACGTTGCCGTCGCGCACAAAGTAGATGACCTCCTCGTGCGACATGCCGAAGTAGGGCTGCAGGCCGTGTGAGAAGATCTCCCAGAGGACGACGCCGAACGCCCACACGTCCGACTCGCTCGTGTAGCGGTTGTAGAAGATGGACTCGGGCGGCATCCAGCGGATGGGGATGGCGTCGTTCTCGTTCGCCTTGTAGTAGTCGGCCGCGTATATGCTCTGCGAGAGGCCGAAGTCGGAGATCTTGACGACGAGGCGGTTGCCGACGAGGCAATTGCGCGTGGCGAGGTCCCGGTGCACAAACTTGCGCTCGGCGAGGTAGGCCATGCCGGCGGCGACCTGCGTAGCCACGAACAGCTTGTCGGCACAGCACAGCGACACGGGCTCCGAGCCGCTGCTCTGAGCCGACAGCGTGGAGCGGTCGCCCTGCGTCGTCGTCGTCGCCGTCGTCACCGTCGGCGCTCTCGCCGGCGGCGACGACGCCGCCAGCCCCGCCTCAGAGCTGCAGCGCCGCAAGTACTCATTGAGGTCTCCGTGCGGCATGAACTCGAAGAGGAGGCAGAAGGGCTTCCCCACGGCGCACACTCCTGTGGGCGGGGGGGGGGGGAGTGCGGCCGGCACGTGTCAGATCGTGTGTGTGTGTGTCAGATCGTGTGTGTGTGTGTCAGATCGTGTGTGTGTCAGATCGTGTGTGTGTCAGATCGTGTGTGTGTGTGTCAGATCGTGTGTGTGTGTGTGTCAGATCGTGTGTGTAGCGGTTAGCGCTACTGGACCGGGCCACCCGAGTTCAATTCCCGCTCACAGCCAACACCGGTGACGATTACGCGCCCCGGTCCTGATGCCTCCACCAAGGTCGCCTTAAAATGAGTTCTTGGTAAGGTAAGCATCAGTAATGGGGAGACACCTCAAGCTGCCCCGTGACCTCCTGCCTTCGACATTTCACGTGATGGCCTCAAAGTGCACGTAGCCTGGCACAAGCTTGGGCGTGTGTGCGTGCACATGCGAGCGAGGGTGCACGTGCGCGCGTGTGCGCGTGTGCGCTTTTGTCACCCAGCAGCTTGACGATGTTGGGGTGCGTGAACTCCGCCATGAGCGCCGCCTCGCGGTGGAAGTTGGCCTGCATGTCTGGTGAAGCCTCCTCCTTCAGCATCTTCACGGCCACCATGGTCACCGCCTCGCCCGCCAGCAGCCCCGGGGCCCTGCCCCACAGGAGTCGGGCGAGGAGGGGTCACAGGGGGTCACATGGGTCACATGGGTCAGGCTCAGCGGGGCGGGGGGGGGGTGCTCCTATACTTTGTACAAGCGTCACCGATTTGCAGTGCGGGTCACAGGTCGGGCGGCCGGGCGGGCAGGAGCTGCGGGCGCCCACCTGGCCTGGAAGACGCGGCCGAAGGCGCCCTGGCCGATGTCGCGCACGTACTGGATGTTGTTGCGCGGGTACTCGAGGCTCTGCAGCCGCGAGCTCAGCAGGCTCGACAGGCGCTGGTACATGGGGTTGGGTGGGATCCGCTCCAGCAGCACGTGGTTCGAGGGCGCCTCGCATGGCAGGCCGGCCCTGCGGAGACACCGTACCTAGTGGTTCTTTTTGCCGGCCGCTCTGGCGAGACGTTCACTACCTCGCCCGGTATACGGGAGGTCGTGGGTTCGATCTTGAGCCTGACGATGCCTGCTGCTGTATATTCGGAGATTAACACGTAGGCTTTCGCGACCAATATCATCCATAATATAGGGGGGGGGTTTGGGTTAGATCGCGTTAATTTACGTATATTTGGAGTTTGCGTGTCTCTCTCTCTCTCTCCCCGTGGTTGTGTGAATTTTTCTCTGGGTCCTACGATTTTTCCCTCCACATTTAGAATCAACATGCGTTTAGAGAATGTGGCTGCTCTACATTTCGGCATGATAAGCCACTTCGTTGAGCTATATAGCTCAGTGGGTCTTACCTGGTAAAATACATGCATCATTTGGTAAAGAGCAAAAATAAAACCACACCGCACGCACCACCATGGCGCACCACACACATCCGTACCGTGCTAGGTTGCGTCAATCCGCACCACGCGACTGAGTCACGCGACGTGACTTCCGCACTCGTGACAGTCGAAGTGAAATTGTTACCCTCCAGAAAGGGAATTTAGCTAAATTAAGTGCAGGACCTGTGAAGCTGTCTTCATTTAGCCCAGTGCATTTTAATATTCGCAGCACAAGCATAAGTGCATTGAAAAGACAAAGGATCCCCCGTATAGCCTGTAGCAGACTGTTGGGGTACGAGGTGGTGGGTGGCCAACACCACGCCCCCGACCGCCTTTGTCTCCCCACTGGCCGAGTTTACTACACACCGCACCAGCTGCTCACGTGTATTTGTTTTTTTGTTTGTTGCGGTTGCACCCGATTCAAGAGCCGAATGGCTCACAGGGCTCTACCAAAATAAACTGAACTGAACACTTAACGCCGAGTCAATCTCGGGCAGGCCCAGGGCTGGCCACTGTTACTGGTGGCCGCTGTTACTGGTGGCCACTGTTACTGGTGGCTACTGTTACTGGTGGCCGCTGTTACTGGTGGCCACTGTTACTGGTGGCCGCTGTTACTGGTGGCCACTGTTACTGGTGGCCACTGTTACTGGTGGCCGCTGTTACTGGTGGCCGCCGTTACTGGTGGCCGCCGTTACTGGTGGCCGCCGTTACTGGTGGCCACTGTGGCCGCTGTTACTGGTGGCGACTGTTACTGGTGGCCACTGTTACTGCTGGCCGCCGTTACTGGAGGCTGCCGTTACTGGTGGCCGCCGTTACTGGTGGCCGCCGTTACTGGTGGCCGCCGTTACTGGTGGCCACTGTGGCCGCTGTTACTGGTGGCCGCCGTTACTTGTGGCCGCCGTTACTGGTGGCCACTGTGGCCGCCGTTACTGGTGGCCGCCGTTACTGGTGGCCACTGTGGCCGCCGTTACTGGTGGCCGCCGTTACTGGTGGCCACTGTGGCCGCTGTTACTGGTGGCCACTGTGGCCGCTGTTACTGGTGGCCACTGTTACTGGTGGCCACTGTGGCCGCCGTTACTGGTGGCCACTGTTACTGATGGCCGCTGTGGCCGCTGTGGCCACTGTTACTGGTGGCCGCTGTGGCCGCTGTTACTGGTGGCCACTGTTACTGGTGGCCACTGTGGCCGCCGTTACTGGTGGCCACTGTTGCCGCCGTTACTGGTGGCCGCTCTTACTGGTGGCCACTGTGGCCACTGTTACTGGTGGCCGCTGTTACTGGTGGCCACCGTTACTGGTGGCCACCGTTACTGGTGGCCACTGTTACTGGTGGCCACTGTTACTGGTGGCCGCTGTGGCCACTGTTACTGGTGGCCACTGTGGCCACTGTTACTGGTGGCCACTGTGGCCGCTGTTACTGGTGGCCACTGTGGCCGCTGTGGCCGCTGTTACTGGTGGCCACTGTGGCTGCTGTGCCCACTGTTACTGGTGGCCACTGTGGCCGCTGTGGCCGCTGTGGCCGCTGCGTTCGCGTCCCCGCACCCCTCGTCGTGGCCGTGCCGGCGCTCCTTGTGCCGCTGCTGGCGCCGCACGGCGTTGCACGCGGCGGCCCCCAGCAGCGTGAGCAGCGCGGTCGCGCCCAGGCCGGACACGAGCGAGATCACCACCAGCATGGAGTGCGTGGCCGACGCCGCCGCCGCGGGGGGCGGCGCCACGTGCTCCGGCATCCCCGGGTCGTGGCGAGCACCGTCGCCGCCACGGCGACCGCTATCATCGCCGGCGCCGTCGCCGGCACCGACGCCGCCGCCGTGACTACCGCCGGCGCCACGGTCGCTACCGCCAGCACCGGCTGCTCCAGCGGTACCACCGACACCTCCACCTCCACCACCAACGCCGCCGCCGCCGCCGCCGCGCGCTGGAGCCACCTCCACTGCCGGGGCCGCGGCGCCGCGCGCGGGGGATTGAGTCGTCGGAGCCGCCGACGCCTCGCCTGGCGAGCCTGGGCAAAGGGAGCGCAAGCGTTAGCCGTGCGTGGTAGAGGGTGCTGGTGGGGGTGGGGGGCTGGTGGGGGTGGGGGGCACGTGAGCAGGGCGGTGTGGGGTGAATGGCAGGGACAAGGTGGCACCTCCAGACTCTCGGGGTGCAGTAAAATCAGTTCACGTTATTTTTTAATGCGTGCACCGTGAGCATTTGAACGGTTTTGACTGATTGAATTGCTGTCAGCGGACAGCATCATCTCACCAAATCCGACCGACCTCAAAGACAAAGGGTCCCCCTTATAGCCCGAACAAACTGTTGGGGCAAGTGCTGTTAGCGAGCACCTACAAAGGCCGGCACGGCACACGAGGGGGGTGGGTGGCCAGCACTGCGCCCGACCGCCTTTGTCTCCCCAGCGGTGATGTTTACTGCAGACCGCACCAGGTACTCATTGGAGGCTGACCCCCCCGCCACCACCCACCGGGCCCGTCCCCCTGCAGGGAGACATGGGTGCGCGCCTCGGCGCTCCCGTGAACGTTGTCGGCGCGGCACGCGAAGTTGGCGGAGAGGAAAACGCGGAGCCGGACCCAGGACTCCGTGACCGCGCCGCGCGTCACCACCTCCGCCGAGAGCTCTGGAGGGAGCTGCACGCGGCGGCACTCACGGTGGTGCTCGGAGTGACACAACGACACTCACAGTGACACTCACAGAGATACTCACAGAGACACAGTGACACTCACAGAGACACAGTGACACAGAGATACAGTGACACAGAGATACAGTGACACAGTCACACTCACAGAGATACTCACAGAGACACTCACAGTGACACTCACAGTGACACAGAGATACTCACAGAGACACAGTGACACTCACAGAGATACTCACAGAGACACAGTGACACAGAGACACAGTGACACTCACAGTGACACTCACAGTGACACAGAGATACTCACAGTGACACTTACAGAGATACAGTGACACAGAGATACTCACAGTGACACTCACAGAGACACAGTGACACTCACAGCGACACTCACAGAGATACAGCGACACTCACAGTGACACAACAACACTCACAGCGACACTCACAGAGATACTCACAGCGACACTCACAGTGACACTCACAGAGACACTCACAGTGACACAGAGATACTCACAACGACACTCACAGTGACTCTCACAGAGACACTCACAGTGACACTCACAGAGATACAGTGACACAGAGATACAGTGAAACTCACAGAGATACTCACAGCGACACTCACAGAGATACAGTGACACTCACAGAGACACGCACAGTGACACTCACAGAGATACTCACAGTGACACTCACAGAGATACAGTGACAGAGATACTCACAGTGACACAGAGATACTCACAGTGACACAGTGACACAGAGATACTCACAGCGACACTCACAGTGACACAGAGACACTCACAGTGACACTCACAGAGACACTCACAGAGATACTCACAGTGACACAGAGATACAGTGACACAGAGATACAGTGACACAGTGACACTCACAGAGATACAGTGACACAGTGACACTCACAGAGATACAGTCACAAAGCGACACAGCGACACAACGACACTCACAGTGACACAACAACACTCGCAGTGACACAACAACACTCACAGTGACACAACAACACTCGCAGTGACACAACACTCACAGTGACACAACAACACTCGCAGTGACACAACACTCACAGTGACACAACAACACTCGCAGTGACACAACAACACTCGCAGTGACACAACAACACTCACGGTGACACTCGGAGCGACACAGCGACACTCACAGTGATACTCACAGCGACATAATCGGTTGAAATGACAACTCAATGCTGCGATGCGCATCACAGCTGGGATTCTAGAGTAAGTGTAGGACCTGGTGTGGGTCCCAGTGTGGGTCCCAGTGTGGGTCCCAGTGTGTGTCCCAGTGTGGGTCCCAGTGTGGGTCCCAGTGTGGTGCTCAGTGTGGTGCTCGGTGTGGTGCTCAGTGTGGGTCCCAGTGTGGGTCCCAGTGTGGTGCCTGGTGTGGGTCCCAGTGTGGGTCCCAGTGTGGTGCCCAGTGTGGTGCTCGGTGTGGGTCCCAGTGTGATGCCCAGTGTGGGTCCCAGTGTGGGTCCCAGTGTGGTGCTCAGTGTGATGCCCAGTGTGATGCCCAGTGTGGGTCCCAGTGTGGTGCCCAGTGTGGGTCCCAGTGTGGGTCCCAGTGTGATGCCCAGTGTGATGCCCAGTGTGGGTCCCAGTGTGGGTCCCAGTGTGGTGCTCAGTGTGGGTCCCAGTGTGGTGCTCAGTGTGGTGCCCAGTGTGGGTCCCAGTGTGGGTCCCAGTGTGGTGCCCAGTGTGGGTCCCAGTGTGGGTCCCAGTGTGGGTCCCAGTGTGGTGCCCAGTGTGGGTCCCAGTGTGGGTCCCAGTGTGGGTCCCAGTGTGGTGCTCAGTGTGGGTCCCAGTGTGAGTCCCAGTGTGGTGCCCAGTGTGATGCCCAGTGGGGGTCCCAGTGTGGGTCCCAGTGTGGGTCCCAGTGTGGGTCCCAGTGTGGTGCTCAGTGTGGGTCCCAGTGTGGGTCCCAGTGTGGGTCCCAGTGTGGGTCCCAGTGTGGGTCCCAGTGTGGGTCCCAGTGGGGGTCCCAGTGTGGGTCCCAGTGTGATGCCCAGTGGGGGTCCCAGTGTGGGTCCCAGTGTGGGTCCCAGTGTGGGTCCCAGTGTGGTGCTCGGTGTGGGTCCCAGTGTGGGTCCCAGTGTGGGTCCCAGTGTGGTGCCCAGTGTGGTGCTCAGTGTGGTGCCCAGTGTGGGTCCCAGTGTGGGTCCCAGTGTGGTGCTCAGTGTGGTGCCCAGTGTGGGTCCCAGTGTGGGTCCCAGTGTGGGTCCCAGTGTGGGTCCCAGTGTGGTGCCCAGTGTGGTGCTCGGTGTGGTGCTCGGTGTGGTGCCCAGTGTTGTGCCCAGTGTGGGTCCCAGTGTGGGTCCCAGTGTGATGCCCAGTGTGGTGCTCGGTGTGGGTCCCAGTGTGGGTCCCAGTGTGGTGCCCAGTGTAGGACTCACGGGGGCACCGTCACGCGTCCACGTGAGTGTGGGAGGAGGGAGGCCCCGAGCTCGACACAGCAGCACCAGCTCGGCCCCGTGCCGAACCTGATACTCGGCCTCCGGGGCCTGCAGCATGCGCGCAGGACCTGCGGTGCCAACACGGCACGGAGTGACACGGCGTGGAGACGGAGACACGGGACACGCAGGGACAAGGTGCACTGCGTAGAGACACGCAGAGACATGAGACACGGAGACATGCGCAGACGTGGCATGGGGACACACAGAGACACGGCGTGGATAAACAGATAGAGAGACGCGCAGCTTGAGACAAAAACACAGAAAGACACAGGACACACACAGACGCAGCATGCAGATACAGCGCGTGGAAACAACGGAGACAAAGAGACACACCGGAGAGAGGGACACGCACCTTCAGCACTTGCGTGGTCCACGCTCCTCTCTGCAGAGACACGGGCACAGTATAAAGAGGCAGCGTTAAGGTTCGCTGTACCTCAGTGTCGCCGCGTGCCCATGTTTGTGTAGTGACATAGCGCTGCAGGTAGACACTTAGCATACACGCCGTTGAGCATATACACGGGTGTGCCGGTAGGGCCGAGGCACTGGGGCAAGGGTCACGGTAGACCTCGTGGGGAGTAAAAGCAGCAGGGAGCGAGAGCTCCGGGCTGCCGGTTCTGGGAGTGGGCTCGTCTCGTCGTCGCCGCCTTCTCCGCCGCCACCTTCGCCCGATCACTGCGCGGCCGGACAGTAGCTGGCTGTCTCGGTCGACTCCGTCGGTGCAACGCGGACAGGGGTCGTGTCTGGGCTTGGTCGTGCGGCAGCGTGGTCGTGAGAGAGAGGGGGGCCCGAGTTGGTGGCGTGAACTCGACAACAATAAAAGGGGAGTTTAACACGTAGGCTTTCGCGACCAATGTTATTCATAATAAAGGTTTTTGTGTTAGATCGCGTTATTTATAAATGTGTCGTAACCCTCCACCACCCGACAAGGCCAATCAGCAAAAAAAGTGTCACGTTGACAAAAGACAAATAGTTCACTGCTTTAGCCCACCGGTGTGTTGAAGAGTGAATCCACAACATTTACAGTTTGAGTACGACGTTTCGCTGGTAATTACATCCAGCATCATCGGGCAATTCGCCAGAATGCCCGATGCCTCGTGCGACTACCTCATCTCCGACTGAGTGTGTGTGTGTGTGTGCGACGCACGCCACCCGCACACACACACACAAGCCCCGAGCAAGAAGGAAGAGGAGACCTTCCACACTACGTGTGTATGCTCAACTTCTTTCGCACCGTACGTAGCCAGCTGTGCTAATCGGAGGTTGCGGGGGAAGGACAAGGAGCTAAACGCAAAAAGCAGTCCGAAAGAAGTGAGTTTGTCAATCTAGATGATTTAAAAGTGCATAGAACCAGTGGCTCACAAATATCGGAAGGGAGAGCGTTCCAGACGGCCGCAGAAGCGCATCTGAAAGCGCGCGGTGCGGTGACCACCGTCTTTGTTCGAGAGCCAGCCAAAAGCCGGTGCTGCGAGGATGACTGCCAGAGTTCACTTGATGATAGTTGATGCTCCTCGTCCCTGTGTCCCCCTCCCCCTGTAGTTCTCATGTCTCCGTGTTCCTGTACCCAATGGCAGCGCCACGGTGGCTAGATGTTATCTTCATCACCTGGTATGCAGGAGGTCGTGGGTTTTGATCTCGACCCTGACGATGCCTGCTGCTGTATATTTCGAGTCTGCGTCTCTCTCCCCGTGATCGTGGGGATTTTTTTTTTCTCGGGGTCCTCCGGTTTTTCCCTCCACATTTAGAATCAGCATCGTGCATTTAGAGTATTTGGCTACTATACATTTCCACACGATGATAAGCCAGTTCGTTGAGCTATCATTTGTGATAGCCAGGTCGCTTCTGAAAAAGAGCAATAATAGCTCAGTGGGCCTTACCTGGTAACTTAAAACATTGTTTAGTTTTCGATTTAAAGCTTTCGTGACTGCAAGGATTCACCTTCTTTGGTTCTTTCGGTAAAGTCAGGTAGAATGAGAATACAATAATAAATTGATAAAATAAAATAACACAATAATATTCTCCAGCGCTGTCCTCCAGACAGTCTCGTCCCTTCACCTGATGAAGGCCGCTTGTGTTGTGGCCGAAACGTCGTGAGAATTTTATTGTGTTATTTTATCAATTTATTATTTTATTCTCATTCTACGTGACTTTATCGAAAGAACCAAAGAAGATTGTTTAGTTTATAGTTCAGTCCCCGCATCCCCACGTCCCTGCATCCCCACGTCCCGATGTCCCCGTGCCCCCGTGCCCCCGTGCCCTCACGTCCCCGTGCCTCTCCCCCCACCACCCCCACCGTGCACGGTGAGCAGGGCGGGCCGCGAGTACTCCACGCCGAAGCTGTTGCGCGCCGCGCAGCGGTAGAGGCCGCCGTCCGTGCGCGTGGTGCCCCGCACGCGCAGGTTCCCTGACGCCAGCACCGACACACGGCTCGACTCCTGCGGGAAACGTGGATGGAGGAAACACGGTGCACGGGTGGGGGGTAATACGGGGCACGTGGGGGCACATGCGGACACACGAGAACACCCGTGGTGTCACTGGGACGACGCACAAGGACACGAGGGGACACAGTGAGAGGCATGCAGAGACACGTGGGACACACAGGTGAGGGCCCTTGGGGACACGGGGAGACAAGGGACACGGGGAGACAAGGGACACGGGGAGACAAGGGACACGGGGAGACAAGGGAGGCATACATAGAGACAAGGGAGGCACACAGAGAGACAGGAGGGCGCAGAGGTGCTCCACAGAGGGGACACGGAAAGATGGAGGGGAAGACGAGGTACAAACACGTGAACACAGACACACAAGGAAGCCGATGGAAGATACGGATGGCTCGGGATGGGTTGAGATCAGGTGAGGCGAGGCGGGTTCGGCTGACCCCTCACCCTAAGAGGAGCGTTGTCTTTGGTCCAGGAGATGGCCGGGGTGGGGTTGCCCATGGAGATGCACGGCAGCACCACCTTGGCGCCCACGACAACCGTGACGTCGCCGGGCGGCCGGGTGATGCGCGGCTCTGAGAGCGTGCGGGCACGCGCGCACGCACGCACCACATTCAGGAACACACACTCAATTGCACATCCACAAAACGCACACGCGTGTGTATATGCATTCACTCATACTCGTGCGAGGACGCACGCGCGCACACGCACACACACACAAACGCTTGAGAGACTCGAAGCAAGACGTGGAAGCACAGCGCAGCCGGGCGGCAAGGGTCAAGCAGAGGCAGCGTGGGGACAGCACAGGGCAGCACAGGTTGGGCAGCACGAGGCAGGTGGAGGTAGCGCGAAGCAGCGGGGCAGCACGGGGCAGCACTGGGGTCAGGAGTGAGGGGCACACAGGGTGGCGGGGCAGCACGGGGGTCAGCAGTGAGGAGCACACAGGGTGGCGGGGCAGCACGGGGGTCAACAGTGAGGGGCACACAGGGTGGCGGGGCAGCACGGGGCAGCACTGGGGTCAACAGTGAGGAGCACACAGGGTAGCGGGGCAGCACTGGGGTCAACAGTGAGGAGCACACAGGGTGGCGGGGCAGCACTGGGGTCAACAGTGAGGAGCACACAGGGTGGCGGGGCAGCACTGGGGTCAACAGTGAGGAGCACACAGGGTGGCGGGGCAACACTGGGGTCAACAGTGAGGAGCACACAGGGTGGCGGGGCAGCACGGGGCAGCAGTGAGGGGCACACAGGGTGGCGGGTCAGCACTGGGGTCAGGAGTGGGCAGCACTGGGGTCAGGAGTGGGCAGCACACAGGGTGGCGGGTCAGCACTGGGGTCAGGAGTGGGCAGCACTGGGGTCAGGAGTGGGCAGCACTGGGGTCAGGAGTGGGCAGCACTGGGGTCAGGAGTGGGCAGCACTGGGGTCAGGAGTGGGCAGCACACAGGGTGGCGGGTCAGCACTGGGGTCAGGAGTGGGCAGCACTGGGGGCAGCAGTGAGGGGCACACAGGGTGGCGGGGCAGCACGAGCCGGTGATTGAGCGCCACGCACTCATCTTGACCTGCAGGGCGGCACAGGCGTGCGCCGGGGTCCCGTGCCCGTTGGAGGCGGTGCAGCAGTACACGCCGGCGTCCGGCTCCTCCACCGTCACCACCGTGAGCAGCTGCCCACCCTCGCCGAGCCGGTAGCGCGCATCGAAGCGCCTGCGGTGCACACACACACGCGCGCGCGGACAAAGGTGAAGACCCCCACCCAACCCCCCACGTAGTGTGCACAGGCTACCGGGGCAAGTGATACTCGCGAGCGGCACCGATGACGGCCGGGCACGGCACTACGGCGCCACGCCAGGTCCACACGCGCACGTGCTGTGTGTGTGTGTGTTCGTGTGTCTTTGTTTTGTCTTTGCGTATGTATGTGTACGTGTGTGTTGTCTGTGCGTGCCGGAGGAAGCGGCGGTGTCGCGGATTGTGCAACCGTGCTACGAACCCGACGTCCCGAGTTTGATTCCTGGCCAGGGGTAATATCAGTGGCGAGTGCTATCAGAACTGGTCCTGGACCTCACTTTAATGAATGTCCTGGTGCGGTGAGACAAGAGAATCTCCGATGTTATTGTCTGCGTGAGTACCCTTGTGTGTCTGGTGCATCTGCCAGTCATCTCAGTCAGTCAAGTCACGGCACCTGGGTCTGTCCCGGGCCCTCCTGCCATCGAGCCTCCAACACTTCACGTGGCCTCAAAGTGCACCTAGCCTGGCACAAGCGTTGTGGTACGTCACTGCCACTTAGTGGCGCATGGCGGCTGTTATTGTTGTGTCCGTGTGTCTGATCAAGGCCCCCTATTGTTTTCGTGGCCTCGTGTACAGGTGTGTTCTGTGATCGAAATGGAAATGTATGGAGAATAAGCCTATTCACACTTGGTGTTCTGAGAAGCACCGGTGTAACACGCCGGTGTGACACGCCGTAGTATACCATCACGTTCCCACCGCTCGATTCGACTACAATTCCCACCGCTCAAATCGCGGGCGCATCCGCACAGCATCGCGGGTCCGAGCACCAGCAGCAGCAGCAGCAGGTGGTGGATGAGCCCGTGTCTGCGCAGGGAGCGGGAGGACCGTTGTCCTTGACACCGGGACGGACTCGGGGAGCTGCGCTGGCTCACCTCACGGGAACGTGGTTGCGGGACCAGGTGATCTCGGCTGATGGGGAGGCCGTCACGTGGCACGTGAAGGATGCCTCCTGCTCCACCAGTGCATCCTGGTTCTCGGGCCCCAACGTGATTACGGGTCCTTTGGGCAGACGAAGACAGAAATCCACCCCAATAGCCTCACGGTTGGCTAGGAGATGTTAACGGCCTCACCTGGTATGCAGGAGGTCCTGGGTTCGATCCCAACCCTGAAGCCTGTATATTTGGAGTTTGCGTGTCTCTCTCCCCGTGGTCGTGTGGATTTTTCCTCTTGTTTTCCCCTCCATAGTTAGAAACATGCGTTTGAGTATCTGGCTGTTATAAATTCCCACGTGATGATGATAAGCCACTTTTTTAAAGCTATCTTGTAGTGGCCAGATCGCTTATGAAAAAGAGCCGTATAGCTCAGTAGGCCTTGCCTGGTAAAATATTTTAAAGAAATGATTTCGTTTGTTTATAGTTTTATGACGGTCCCTTCAACATAATCAACGACCGCTCTATCGCCACTAAAAGTGACAGTGACGTCACCACAGCCCTCGTGCCAGGCTAGGTGCACACCACTGGCTGGAACAGTCCCCACACCTCCTGGTGGTGTCATACGGGAACACCGTTGTGCAATGTGATGAATACCGCGCTGTGATGCCAATTGGAGAGAGAGAGCCTGCTGTGAGTCAGCTGATTAACCCCTCATGGCACGGCTGCCATCCATTACAGTGGCAAATGGGGGGGGGGGGTAAGAGGGGGTGCGAGGGGGCAGCTAAATAAAATGTTTACCAAAGGACTACACAGACTGGAGATTTAGCCCGACACACACAACAGACAAACGTACCGGGGGTCCATACCGCTTGACAAGAGTTGCCACATTTTCACTGTAGATCAAACCCGGATATCTCTCTCTCTCTCTCGATAATTGACCGAGGTCAATTATCAAAACTGATGAAGGGCAAAAAAGAGTGCCACAAACATCCCGGTACAAATCAAATCCTGCCACCCCGAACACAGCTGCCAATTCCTGGACTCTCTGGGTGAAACTTTAACAGGTGCGCAAACGTTAAAGGCAGGGTGATTGGGTTCGTGAATGTGGGTGCGTGGTTAGATTATTGAGTGACTTGACAGATGAGTGGGTGAATGAGTAAGTGGATGAATGTGGTTGAGTGAGGAGGTGAATTCCTGAGTAACTTGACAAATGAGTGGGTGGAGATTGGAGAGGTGACGAGGTGTAGGAAGATTGGAGAGGTGACGAGGTGTAGGGAGATTGGAGAGGTGACGAGGTGTGTGTAGATTGGAGACGTGACGAGGTATATTATCGTGGAGACGAGGTGATGTGCAGACGAGTCGGAGGAGGGAAGACGAAGTGGAGGCGAGTCGATGAGGTGTAAGGAGGGGAGGAGACGAGGTGGCAGAGACGAGGTGGGCGAGGGGAAAGGAGCGTGAGACGACGTGGAGGTTGACGCGGATAGGACGTGAAGACCGGTGGAAGACGAGGTGGAGAGGGAAGGGAGGTTGAGGATGAAACCACGGTGAGATGATGATGATGAGGTGAAGGCGAGGAGACTGACGAGGAGACGAAGAGAGAGGGAGGCTGAGGAAGTGGATAGAGAGAGAGAGAGGCGAGTCCGCGCCGGGAGAGGGGGTCGGTGGCTTCGCAAAAATCTCTCTCTCAGCCCCCCCTAGGATATTTCAGAGCCCATTGTCAGCGCGAACAGCTGTTCACCGTGTAGAAGTCACTGCAGTAGTGTAAGCCAGCGGTTTTTTCTAGGTCAGGGTTTAAAGGACATACAGCGGCATAATAGAGATTCTTTTTTGTTGGGGCTACATCGCGTGAATATAAGTGTGTCGTTAAACCCGCCACCACCCGGACACGGCCGATTAGTAAGGGGTTTGTCACGTAAAACAAAACGTGGCCAATTCGTCACGAGTACAACACGCCGGTGGTGTGTTGGAGAGTTAAAACCACAGCAACATTTACAATTCGAGTACCCGTGAAGTTTCATCCGGCAATTACAACAACCCGCATCGTCAGGCGACTTGTGGAGAAATCCTCCTCCTGCATCGGTCTTAAATAGAGGACATGATGTGGCGTTACCTTCGAATCCCTGCATCTTTGAGGGACGTCAGCGAAGACAAAAAAAACAAACCTCGATTATGGATAGTATTGGTCGCCAAAGGGGAAGGAGGCGATCTTGATTTGAAGCTTTCGTGACTGCAGGAATTCACACTCGTTGGTTCTTTCGGTAAAGTCACGTAGGTGGAAAAATTAAATAAATCACGACGTTCCGGACGCTTGTGTTGCGCCCGAAACGTCGTGATTAATTTTATTTTCTACCTACGTGACTTTACGGGAAGGAGGCATCTTATTATTATTATTTTTTAGACGCCGGATAATCACTACTAATCATTATTTAAAGTAGCTTGTTTTTGCACATTCTTGCATAACGTGATGTTTAATCCCCTCTATTCAAGACCGAGATGTGAGGAGGATATCTCCACAACTATGTGGCTGTCGCCTCACGATGCCGGCTGTTGGAATTACCGGGTGAAACTTCACGGCACTCGAAAGGTAAATGTTGTCGTGGGTTTAACGCTCCAACACTCAACCGGCGTGCGCTGAACTAGCAACGAATTCATAATAGGGGTTTTTCCCATTTTTTTCTGGCAACAAAACTGAAACCTTTTTACAAGGAGTCATGTGTGCATTAACCACAATACTTGTGGTCAAAATGCAAACAAAAAACACACTGATAATATATGCATTGTCCTTGAAACTGCTTGGTCCACACCAGAGACGGCTTTCTTTTGAGCCTCGTCTAAAATAAACCCTATTATTATATTTTCGTACTGGCAAAGGAGGTCTAATGATGAGATAGCAGCGAATTGGCCACGTTCTGTTCACGTGACAAACCCTTTACTAAATTGGCCGTGTCGGGTGGTGGCGGGTTTAACGACACATTTATATTTACGCGATCTAACCCAACAAAAAAAACCCTCACCTTGTGGATATTAGTCACGAAAGGCCTACTACTACAACAGCGTGTTGTTGGACACCCTGTAACATGTTTTACGTAACACGAGATGTTGCTTGGGTTTAGATTGCATTTATTTGAGAGGGAAATGCTTGGCCCAACGCTTGCAACCCCTCACTGGGGGTGGAGGTTGAGTATTTGTACTCTCTATATATAATGGACGGGCTTATTCAAACGAATGCCATGACACGGGCCAGATGACAAAAATCCAACAGCACAATTTGGGAGAGACTTTTAAAACGATATTTGGCTGGCGGGGCGGAGTGGGGGTTGGTTCAGGTCGGACTGACAATACACACAGCCTACAGCCACACTCACTCAGCCTACAGCCACACTCACACAGCATACAGTCACACAAAGATCCAAAGATCCCCCATATAACCTTAACAGACTGTAGGGGCAAGTGCTGTTGGCGAGCACCTATGAAGGCCGGAACGGTACACGAGGGGGTGGGTGGCCAGCACTACGCCCGACCGCCTTTGTCTCCCGAATGGCGATGTTTACACACTGCACCAGGTACACATTTGAGGCTGAGTCGACCTAGGGGAGGCCCGGGAACGATTCAGATTATCGTCACTGGTGTTGGCCGTGAACGGGAATCGAACCCGGGTCGCCAGGTTCATAGCGCAGCGCGCTAACCGCTACACTACCGCTCCTCCACTCACACAGCCTACAGTCACACAGCCTACAGTCACACACGGCCTACAGTCACACAGCCTATAGTCACACAGCCTACAGTCACACTCACACAGCCTACAGCCTACAGCCACACTCACGCAGCCTACAGTCACACTCACGCAGCCTACAGCCACACACAGCCTACAGTCACAGCCTACAGTCACACTCACTCAGCCTACACTCACACAGCCTACAGTCACACTCAATCAGCTTACAGTCACACAGCCTACAGTCACACAGCCTACAGTCACACTCACTGAGCCTACAGTCACACAGCCTACAGTCACACTCACTCAGCCTACAGTCACACAGCCTACAGTCACACTCCCTCAGCCTACAGTCACACACAGCCTACAGTCACACTCACTCAGCCTACACTCACACAGCCTACAGTCACACTCACACAGCCTACAGTCACACACAGCCTACAGTCACACTCACTCAGCCTACACTCACACAGCCTACAGTCACACTCACACAGCCTACAGTCACACAGCCTACAGTCACACAGCCGACAGTCACACTCACACAGCCTACAGTCACACAGCCTACAGTCACACAGCCTACAGTCACACTCACAGCCTACAATCACACAGCCTACAGTCACACTCACACAGCCTACAGTCACACAGCCTACAGTCACACAGCCTACAGTCACACTCACAGCCTACAATCACACAGCCTACAGTCACACTCACACAGCCTACAGTCACACTCACAGCCTACAATCACACAGCCTACAGTCACACTCACACAGCCTACAGTCACACAGCCTACAGTCACACAGCCGACAGTCACACTCACACAGCCTACAGTCACACACGGTCTACAGTCACACTCACACAGCCTACAGTCACAGCCTACAGCCACACAGCCTACAGTCACACAGCCTACAGTCACACTCACTCAGCCTACAGTCACACACAGCTTACAGCCACACAGCCTACAGCCCACACACACACACCACTCCCAGTCATACATCCCTACGTCATCCCTACTATCCAGTCAGCAGTGTTACTTACCACACTCGTTTACCGCCACACAGGACACATCAATACACCCCATACTCATGCACCACACTATCAAGAACTACACCCAATATATACACCCCTACGCTACATCATATACTGTACATCCCTACACCCATACACCCCTAGACCCTATACACCCCAAGGCGCTATACACCCCTAGACCCTATACACCCCTAGACCCTATACACCCCAAGACGCTATACACCCCTAGACCCGATAAACCCCTATACCCTATACACCCCTAGACCCTATACCATCCTAGACCCTATACACCCCTAGACCCTATACACCCCGAGACGCTACACATCCCTACACTACCCCCTACACCCCCTACATATCCTGATACCCTACACTGCACCCTACACATCCCTACACCCTACACCCTATACACCCCTACACCCTACACACTTACACCCTATACACCCATACACCCTACACATCCTTGCACCCTTAACACTCCTACACTGCACCCTATACCAATGTACCCTATACACCCCTACATTCTACAGGTCCCGACACCCTATACACACCTACACCCTACACACCTACACCCATGTACCCTATACACACATACACCCTACACACCTACACCCTATACACACCTACACCCTACACACCTACACCCTATACACACCTACACCCTACACACCTACACCCTACACCCATGTACCCTATACACACCTACACCCTACACCCACACACCCCGACACGCGCATACGCTCGCTCTTCTTCTGCACCGTCTCTACCACCTCCTCACCCCGCGTCCACCACCTCCTCACCCCGCGTCCACCACCTCCTCACCCCGCGTCCACCACCTCCTCACCCTCCTCACCGTCGGGGGAGGCAGAGGCCACGCAGAGCCACAGCAGCAGGGCGCGGACGCCACATCCCGCCATCGTTCCCCTCCTCAAGCCCGGGGAGACGAGGTGGGGAGAGATTGGAGAGGTGACGAGGTGACGAGGTGGGGAGAGATAGGAGAGGTAACGAGGTGACGAGGTGGGGAGAGATTGGAGAGGTGACGAGGTGGGGAGAGATAGGAGAGGTGACGAGGTGACGAGGTGGGGAGAGATTGGAGAGGTGACGAGGTGGGGAGAGATAGGAGAGGTGACGAGGTGTGTGGAGATTGAAGAGGACACGAGGTGACGAGGTGTGTGGAGATTGGAGAGGTGACGAGGTGTGTGGAGATTGAAGAGGACACGAGGTGTAGGGAGATTGGAGAGGTGACGAGGTGTAGGGAGATTGGAGACGTGACGAGGTGTGTGGAGACAGGAGACGTGACGAGGTGTGTGGAGACAGGGGACGTGACGAGGTGTGTGGAGACAGGGGACGTGACGAGGTGTATAATGCTGGAGACGAGGTGACGTGCAGACGAGGCGGAGGAGGGAAGACGAAGTGGAGGGGAGTCGATGAGGCGCAAGGGAGGGGAGGAGACGAGGTGGCAGAGACGAGGTGGGAGAGGCGAGGTGGGAGAGACGAGGTGGCAGAGACGAGGTGGGAGAGACGAGGTGGGAGAGGCGAGGTGATCGCGAGACGACGTGGAGGTTGACGGGGATAGGACGTGAAGACCGGTCGAAGACGAGGTGGAGTGGGAAGGGAGGTTGAGGATGAAAACACGGTGAGATGATGATGATGAGGTGAAGGCGAAGAGTGGAGAGACTGACGAGGAGACGAAGAGAGAGGGGCTGATGAGGTGGACAGAGAGAGAGGCGAGTCCGCCCGGGAGAGGAGGGGACAGTGCCGCCTCTACCGAGGCCGCCGCAGCGACGGACAGCGACAGGTGGCGGGGACGGGAAGGAGGAGGAGGAGGAGTGCGGGGACACGGGGAGGATGGGGCAGGAGGATGGGAGGATGGGGGGCACGGGGAGGATGGGGCAGGAGGATGGGAGGATGGGGGGCACGGGGAGGATGGGGCAGGAGGATGGGAGGATGGGGGGCACGGGGAGGATGGGGCAGGAGGATGGGGGGCCACGGGGAGGATGGGGCAGGAGGATGGGAGGATGGGGGGCACGGGGAGGATGGTGCAGGAGTATGGGGGGCACGGGGAGGATGGGGCAGGAGGATGGGAGGATGGGGGGCACGGGGAGGATGGGGCAGGAGGATGGGGGGCACGGGGAGGATGGGGCAGGAGGATGGGAGGATGGGGGGCACGGGGAGGATGGGGCAGGAGGATGGGAGGATGGGGGGCACGGGGAGGATGGGGCAGGAGGATGGGAGGATGGCGGGCACGGGGAGGATGGGGCAGGAGGATGGGAGGATGGGGGGCACGGGGAGGATGGGAGGATGGGGGGCACGGGGAGGATGGCGCGAGAGGATGGGAGGATGGGGACACGGGGAGGATGGGGCCGGAGGATGGGAGGATGGGGACACGGCGATGATGGGAGGATGGAGGCAGGTTGATCCCAGAGGACGACTGTGGAAACTAGGTCGAGCAGATGTTGTCAACAAGCCACTCCCAAGAGAGACCCGAACCTGAAACGGCACTCCTCGGAGTCGTGGCTGATTCCCTGAATATCATCAGCCCTGGGTTTGGCACCACCGTGACCTGCGGCGCTGGTTGGCCATGCCACCCGCACGTGTGCCGTACTGGCCTTAATAGGTGCTCGCTGACAGCGCTGACAGAGTGCGGAATACACTGACCAGCAGCAGCAGCCTCCTGAACAGACAGAAGTGGCCTCATTGCGTAAATATGGACAGGGCATCGAGAACGAATCTCTTTTGTTTAAATTCCACCCACAAAAAAACACTTAATAATAAATACATGTTTAGTTATATACAGGGTGGTTCAGATGTCTTGTGACCCCCATTTAAGTCTCTAAAACTTTTTTTTTAAGTAAGGTTTATATAAAATAATACATGAATATACAAAATAAACAAAAACAATGTTCGGGGTAAATTAACTTTGGGGGGAGGCGGGGGGGAGTGAGTCACAAGACATCTGGAACAGCCTGTAAATTGCGCCCTATCATCGCCCAGGAACCACGGACAACGAGCCGGATGGCAACAGCAGCAGCAGCCACGCGGCGGGTTGCCGCCAGCGCTGCCAACAATGCCCCATTCTCTACGGCCCTCTGCATGTTAAGATGTTTCCACCCAATTCACGAGCGTTTATTTTGCGTGTGGGAGGAAACCGAAGCGCCCGGAGAAAACCCCCACGCGTGCGAGAGGGCTAAACACTATATCCCTGTACAGATGGAACCGGTGGAGTCCACATTTACTGAACCGCCTTCCCCTGGCGAGCCCAGGGTTATTATGGAACCTCCTCGAAGCCCACGAGATGGGAGTTTCAGAACATCTGCGCGGTGATCCAGGCGACCCGCGATGCCTCCACAGTGCTGGATTAATGATTGTTTTCATCACCGTCGTCACACCGCTGCCAATGTATCATCGCGCTGCTAGAATTGATTGATACATTTTTATTTTCCCCATCATTCCATGTTTAACTCTAGAACCCGAAGCGGTGACGGACGATTCTCTGCCGTAACACGACGCCAACATCAGCCGTGATCAATCCACTGCTGGATGAAGGCCTCCTAAATCGCACACAGTATTAAACACTCGTGGCCTGACATCAGCGCTTCTCGTACTCCCATCATTACCAGCTGCTCGCAAACGGCTGCGCACCGCACCTGCCTGATGATTGGTGAACCAAACGCTATTTTTTTATTTATTTTATCAGCGACCTGGCTATCACAAATGATAGCTCAATGAAGTGGCTTATCGCGTGGACATTTATAGCAGCCAAATACTCTAACCGCATGTTTCTAAATGTGGAGGGAAGGAGCTTCCCGGAGAAAAATGCACGCGACCAACGGGCAGAGAGACACCGCAAATTCCAAATATACAAGGTGCTTCAAAAACACGTTAACACTTCCGAGAATTTGCAACAATACCACACGAAATGTGCCGCCGGGGTCTGTAGACCACCTGGAGAAGATTCCAGGCATGTGTGGACAACAATCACGAACAAGTGGAGACTCTTTGGCTTTTTGAAGATATTAACATACATTTGTTATCATGTTACAGTGTATAATCCGTTCTTTTCCCGTTTGAAAACGATAGTCCCGTATCAGTGTTAACATTTGTAAGCACCCTGCATACAGGCGTCAGGGTCGGGATCGAACCCCCGACCTCCTGTATATCGGGCGAGGCGGTTAACATCTCCTAGCCACCGTGGCGCCGGTGGCGCTGTGGTCAGAACTTCTCGACTCGCGATCGGAAAGTCCTCGTTAAAATTCCAGTCGGGGGGGTTCGGAAAGCATGCGTGTGTGTGCGTCCTCTCCATGGTCAATGAGCAGCATTAAGTTGCCGATTCCGCCGTGGTGGGGGCAGTGACATTTTCCAAAACGGGGACATACGAGCACCACTCCACCCAGACCGGCACCACTCCACCCAGAGCGGCACCAGGGAGATACGGCCGTGGATCTGGTTTGTGAAAGGGGAGACCCGGACTGCTTGAGATGGGGCCTGAGGAGTGGCGTTCGAGACGGCCGCAGCGGCCCCGTGGTGTGCGCGAGTCCCCCACGAGTGCGAGTAGGAATTTCACCAGCCCCCCCCCCCACCCCCTATCCAGTGCGGGTGTCTTTAAGTGCCCCCCTCTGACGCGTGCACTGAATGGGGTTTTTCTCAAAGCCATGCCCTCCGCACAGATTGTGGTTAAGATGTGGTTACGGTCTTGATTTGAAGCTTTCGTGAACTGCAGGAATCCATACTCTTTGGTTCTTTCGGTAAAGTCATCACGTAGGTATAAAATAAAATAAAACAGTCTGCGTCAGCAGCAGACCCGGCTTTCCCACCTGATGATGGACGCTTGTGTTGCGCCCGAAAACGTCGTGATTTATTTTATTTTATACCTACTACGTGACTTTACCGAAAGAACCAAAGAGTACGTGGTCATGGGTTTGGCCGGAGTTACCGTGGGACCCCACCATCCCACCCGTGGCAGCCCAAATCGAACTGCGGCCACTGCTCCCTGTGCAGGGCATCAGTGAGCAGGAACTGCACGGGGGAGGAGTTGAAGCAAACTTGAAGGGAATGCGTTCGCTGTGGCTGCACAAGGTAAAAACTCGGTTCTACACTGAAAATGCATTTCTTTAGAATGTAATTTTTTAAAGTTTAGTTTGTTGTCCTTCCACTTCAGATTAGCACGGCTGGCTACGCACGGTGCGAAAGAAGTTCAACATAAGTACACTGAAGCACAACTCACACTTTCATATTAGCACTACCTTATGACAGATAGGCGATTACCCAAAGCATCATAATCATCGGCCACGATGATGATCCACGACTGGATGAAGTCCGCCATTACCATCGCTCACGATCCCAAGACGCTTCAAACCGTCTCCTACTTATTCCAGCCCATGTAAAGTCGACTTCATCGCTCCGTCTCCATGCCGGACGTGCTCTCTCGGAAGCGTTCGCGTCTTTTGACCGTCACTCCACCGTCGAGTCTCCACCACCGACCGAGACATCACCGGCGCCAGCGACGCATCCTGCCCAAGCTCGCTCTTGCCAACCGTCAATATCCCAACTAATTCCCCGTGTTTCTCTTTGTGTCTCTCTATAACTCCACACGTGCGCCTCTCCGCGCATCTTTGACCACTATTTAGCCTTTGTCCCATTGTTTTTTGTGTGTTTTCGTTTTTTTTGTCCTTCCCCCCGCACCTTCGAATAGCACGGTTGACTACGTACGGTGCGAAAGAAGTTCAACGTACATACGCCTATATTTATCCGCTTCCTGTCACAGCAGATAACGCGCAGCGATCACACACACACCCTCTCTTCTCTCGGTCACATTGAAGTTGATGCTTTTAATGCTTCTTTTGCTTTTAGACAACAACAAAATTAATTCCAAAATATATTTCGTTCTGTGAATAAGCCAGTGCTGTCGACGAGTGTGTGGCGAATGGCTTTAATGGAAGACAGGTCGTATGGTGTTATTACTTGGGGAAGAGGGGAGGGATGACAGAGACACCAGACAGAGATACCTTACAGTGCTCTACAGAGAGAGGAAAGAGAGAGGGACGCGAAAGGACAAGCGAGAGTGACGGAAGGAGGGAGGAATTCCGATTCCGGAGAACACAACACCGCAGGTGTCGTCTTCCTCCTCCTCCTCCACGGCTGCCCGGGACTTCCCGTCCGCTGAACATAAAGACCGGTGCCCGAACACAAACCCAATCAGACCCCCCCACTTCCTCACAGCGGAGGGTCATGCTACCCCTCTACTACCCCGACCCCCCCTCTGCCGCAGTCGCATCCTCCCTGCCACGGGGGGATTCCAGCGACACGCGTGGCAGACGAAGGCTCCACGCAGGGCCGCATGACGGGCGGGTGGATTTCGTCCGGGGTCCGTGCCGTGCGCGTTGGCGCGGGGCACCGGCTGGACGGATATTTAGGAGAACCAGCTGCGCATCCTACTCACCATTAATTTGCCTCACCACGATCACTCAGCCTCACCACGATGACCCAGCCTCACCACCACTAATCAGCCTCGCCACGATCAGCCTCACCACCATCACCCAGCCTCACCATCATCACCCAGCCTCACCACGATGACCCAGCCTCGCCACCACTAATCAACCTCAGACGCGCTCCTGCGGCCGTCTGGAACGATCTTCCTTCCGATATTTGGAAGTCACTGGAGCTTATGCACTTTTCAATCATCTAGGTTGACAAACTCGCTTCTTTACGACTGATTTCTTTGTGCTCAGATTGTTGTTCTTCCCCCGCACCTCGGATTAGCACGGTTGGCTACATACGTTGTGAAATCAGTTCAACATACGACGATAAACCAGCCTCACCACCACTGCCTAGGCTCACCAGCACCTCTCCAGCCTCACCACCACCACCAGCCCGGTCTCCCCCCCCACCCCCCGCTCACTTGACCTCACCCCATCGCCTTCCCTGTCCTCGAAGGCTGCACCTGGCATTCTCGCATTCCCTCGCACGCGCCGTCATTCATTCTCTCACACAAAGCTCCCCCGTGTAGCCTCTAACGGGCTGTTGGGGAAAGTGCCGTGAGCGAGTAGCGGCGCCTATGGGGGGGGGGGGTAGTGGCCAACACCACGTCTGTCCGCCTTTGTCTCCCCGGTGCCGATCTTTACACACCGCACCAGGTACTTATTTAAGGCCGAGTCGACCTAGGAGAGGCCCAGGACCAGTTCAGATATTCGTCACCGAAGCTGGCAGTGAGCGGCAAATCGAACTCGGGGTCGCCGGGTTCGTGGCGCAGCGGAACGAACGACTGCTCCACAGCCACACTCGGCACATTCTCTCCCGCAGACATACACACACACACATTTACATACGCAATCATACAAGCACGTGCCTGGGTGTCTTCACAACTCAGGCGGGGGTGGGAGCAGGTGGGCCCTGCAGGCGTGGAAGCCCCAACATCCGTAACGGCACCACGTGACCCGGCGACCCCGCTCAAGGGGGCGGGGCGGGGGGGGCACAGCTCTCCCAGGCGGCCGAGCGCCCCCCCCCCGGCCCCCCCTTTGCGGGGTCGACACACAACTGCTGATGGGGTCTCCCCTCCACCCCTCCGAGCGGAGTGGCACAGTCCGAACACCTGTGCGGCCACGTCAGACACAGGAGCGGCCACTTGTGACCATGGAAGAAGCGGGGGGGGGGGGGGGGCTGTGGGGGGTAAGCGGCACGGCCCCCCACGAGACCGCTCGGCCGGCATCGTGCAGCGTAAGGCACTGGCCGTCACCAAAAGCCCCGGTCGTCACCAACTCCGTGGTTTTCCCAATTTACTGGGGGGCTAAATGACGTGGTGAGAGTGGCCGGGGGGGCAGGAGGTGACGCTGTGGATTTTAGCTTTGGTGAAGAATCGGCGTCTTTGCGTGGAGATGTAACTGGTTGGGGTAAGTCGCGAGGCGGATTGGTTTAACTTTGTTGGAGGCGCTGTAGCTGCGGTTGTGGTGGATGCGACTCGGGGCAGCTTAATTAACACGACGAAGAGAAGTTTGAATCCCCGTATCAGGCTACGTTGTATCCACCCCCTCGTTGCCCGATGCTTTTTATAAATACATCGTTCACTGCCCACAATTATTTTATAAGAGGGGGGGGGGTGTCTATTGTTCATCCCCCCACAGATCTCTCAATTGAGGGACACAGCCCCCTGCCCATACCCCCGCTATGCCCCCAGTCATGGAAACCAAACCCTGGGCATCTCTCGACATCTTCAGCCTTACCATCACCCACCGTCACCACCACCGCTGGGCATCCCCATCACACAGCCTCACCAACACCCTCTCCACCATCACCACCACTACCCAGCTTCACCAACACCCACGAGCCTCTCCACCACCACCACCACCACCTCTACTTTGGCCTCACCACCATCACACAACCTCACCACCATCACACGGCCTCACCAACACCCCCGAACCTCACCACCACCTCTCCGCCATCACCAGCACTACGACTACCCGGGCCTCACCCCATCGCTCCCACGAAGACCAAAAAACCCTGGGCACCCTCCACCTCGGCAGAAGGAACTCTCAGCGACGGCACGCGCCACAATAAAACAAATCGTTTATTTATAAAACCCAACGTCCGTCAGTGAAGAGGGGGGTGGGTGGACGTCCCGGTGGTGGGGGGGGGGTGCTCAGCGTGCCACCGCGAGGTCTTCGGGGATGCGCGCGAGCGCCGCCTGCAGTTGCCGTGGGCTCATGAACTCGCTGCTGTCCAGGAGGCTGGCCACTAGGAGGGTGTTGCGCACCGTGCGCGCCTTCACCCACACGCGCCCGTTCATGCCGGCCACAATCTCCATGGGAAACGCAGCGCCAAGCCGGCGTAGGATCTCGCAGTCCGGCTGCAGCAACCTGGGGGTGGGGGGGGGGGTGGGGACGGGGCGCCAGCGTCAGGTTTCCGCGCCCGTAGTGCATCGGGCTGACCACTGCGCCATCACTCCCTTACGCGGGTCAAATTTCAAGTTGATTTTGGTTGACCGGGTGAGAACTCAAGAGACCAGGATAGGTATCATATGCAAGAGTGACCTAGGGCGTTAGTCTACCAGCAAGAGGTGATGATTGCTATGTAGTCCCAATTGAGTAAATGTGCGGTGTCATTTTCGAATGTGGCAAATTTGGACCCTGATGCCAGCACACAATGGCCTACTCTTGCAAATTACATCAGGGGATCTTGAACATCCACTGTGGAGCAAGGCGGTCGGCTACGTTCGGTCCCAAAGATGTTCAACATACATACATTATTACGGTTCTTATACCGGCAGTAATAACCAGGGCGGCCGCTGGATTCTAACCGTAAAGATCTGAAAGAGGCAGCGAACAAACCACCGTTAGGCCGCGTGTTGAGCACACAGAACCTAAATGCGACCTACATAGACTCAGATTAAAATCGGTTCCGAGCAAAGTCATCGTTACAATGGTGCCTTCAGAAACACGTGGCCGAGCCTGCTCGGCTAAGGCCGCAACGTCCATCTGCTCGCCCGACCAGCCTTAACAGGGTGCTTGCCAACAGCGACGCCTGCGTCCTGCGATTAGCGCATGAGCAAGGCCCCCGCGCGGAACCTTCCCCTGTCCTCCTACCTCCGCGCGAGTCCCAGCGAGCAGTGCAGAAGAAACCCTCCGGGACCCAGCACCCCCATGCCGGACGCTCGGCCCCCGCTGTCCATGCACACCAACTCGGGCTCCATGTCCTTGTTGGCCACGAGGAGGCGGCCAAACACGAGGTCTGCCACCTGCCCACGAGACACACGCGTCACAAACGAGAGATGGTGGCGGGGGAGCACGTGTGGTTTAGTTTGTTGTCCTTACCCCAGCACCTCCCAAGAAGTTCAACATACGTACAGCAGGTTTCACCAATCGAACCCTCAAAAGGACACTGGAAATCGCTAGATAGACATGTATACAATCAAACTTGATTTGAAGCTTTCGTGACTGCAGGAATTACTCTCCGATTCTTTCGGTAACGTCGCGTAGAAAGAAAAATAAATTAAATAATAGAACACGACGTTTCGATTGCAACAAAAGCAGTCGTCATCAGGTAGAACTAAATTTGAGAGAGAGACAAAACACAGACACGGAGACACACAAGCAGAGAGAGACAACACAGAGGCACAAAAAAGACAAAGATCCCCCATTTATCCTTAACAGACTGTAGGGGTAAGTGCTGTTAGCGAGCACCTATAAAGGCCGGAACGGTACACGAGGGGGTGGGTGGCCAGCACCACGCCCGACCGCCTTTGTCTCTCTAGTGGCAATGTTTACACACCGCACCAGGTACTCATTTGAGGCTGAGTCGACCTAGGGGAGGCCCGGGACCGGTTCAGATAATCGTCACTGGTGTTGGCCGTGAGCAGGAATCGAACCCGGGTCGTCAGTTTCATAGCGCTGCGTAGCGCTAACCGCTACACCACCGCTCCCCACAACACACACACACAGAGAGAGACACACATAACACAGACACACAGCTCTGTGTGTCTATGTTGGATGTTCCCCCCGTGGCTCTCGTCTTACCTGCACGTTGGGCCGGTTTCGTTTTGTGGCTCCCTCGAAGGCCAGGAATGAGAGGCTGGCCTGCTCGCTACCACCAACGTCAACCTTGAAGACGTCGCCCGCCCGTGCCGTCACCACTCCAATCACCGTCTCGCCTTTGACGGGCACGTACTGCGCAGCACAGGGCACAACACGCGTGTCAAATCAGCCAGAGATGGTCAACATACACACACATGCACACCATGTCTCCCCGCCAATCTCAGGGTATTGGAATGTTTGGGCAGTTTGCATCAACGCGTGGCACGTGGGAGGAAATCAGAAACCGGAATGAAATCCGTCAGGCACACGTAGACATAACGAAGAACTCCGCACAGATATATTCAAGAATCCATTACTGGTGCGTCTACTCTATTGGCCACTTCGCAGCAAATGTAAAACTAAACTCAATAAACATTTCACCAGGTAATGCCCATTGAGCTCTATGGCTCTTTTTCAGATGCGACCTGCCCACAATTGATAGCCCAACAAAGTGGCTCATCATGACGTGGAAATGTAGAGCAGCCAAATACTCGAAACGTGTGATGTTGATTACACATGTGGAGGGAAACTCGGAGGACCCGGATAAAAATCCACGCGCACACGAGGAGACACACAAACTCCACATAATCAGCTGGTGTCTGGGTCGGGATCTAACCCGCAACCTCCTGCATACCAGGCGAGGTAGTCAACATCTCCTAGCCACCGTGATGATGATGAGAGAGACACGCAGACTCAAAATATACAGCAGCAGGCATCGTCAGGGTCGGGATCGAACCCACGACTTCCTGCATTCCAGACGAGGTAGTCAACATCTCCTAGCTACCGTGATGATGATGAGAGAGACACGCAGACTAAAAATATACAGCAGCAGGAATCGTCAGGGTCGGGATCGAACCCACGACTTCCTGTATACCAGGCGAGGTAGTCAACATCTCCCAACCACCGTGGCCCACGAGTCCGTGGAGAGGGGCTGAGCGTGTCCGGGCTCAAACGCCTCTCTCAGACCGCACGGGGGGGGAGGTAGGTGGGGGAGGGGGGTAGGTGGGGGGGGGAGATAGGTGGGGGGGGGGGGGGGTAGGTGGGGGGGGGGAGGTAGGTGGGGGGGGTAGGTGGGGGGGGAGGTAGGTGGGGGGGGGAGGTAGGTGGGGGAGGTAGGTGGGGGGGGGGGAGCTAGGTGGGGGGGGGGGGGAGGTAGGTGGGGGGTAGGTGAGGGGGGGGAGGTAGGTGGGGGGGAGGTAGGTGGGGGGGGGAGGTAGGTGGGGGGGGAGGTGGGGGGGGTAGGTGGGGGAGGTAGGTGGGGGGGGAGGTAGGTGGGGGGGGAGGTAGGTGGGGGGGGGAGGTAGGTGGGGGGGGGGAGGTAGGTGGGGGGGGAGGTGGGGGAGGGGAGGTAGGTGGGGGAGGTAGGTGGGGGGGGTGGGGGAGGTAGGTGGGGGGGGTAGGTGGGGGGGGTAGGTGGGGGGGGGGGGGTAGGTGGGGGGGGTGGGGGGGGTGGGGGGGGGTAGGTGGGGGGGGTCCCTTGCCAGCATTAGGGTCGCGAGGAACGCGAGAGAGGCCCCCCCCCCCCCCCCCCCCCCCCCCATTGCTCCACCGCCTCGTACCCGCTTCTGGTGCGACTCGACCCAGTAAGTGTGCGGCTCCCGGTGTCGCAGCACGCCGCAGCGGCACGCCAGCACCACCTCCCCCTCGCGCCGGAGTCCCGGGCCCAGCACCACGCGCCCGGCGGGGGAGGCGGCGGTGGCGGCGAGGCCCACGTCCTGCTGCTGCGGCTGCGGCGGCGACACCGCCGCCACCACCACCTCGTCCCCGGCCATAACGACCCGAAGCGCCCTGTGTCGCGGTGCCATGCGGCGGTCGGTGGAGGCCTCCTCCTTCTTCTCCTCCTTCTTTTCCTTCTCCTTCTCCTCCTCCTTCTCCTTCCTCAACGAGTCTCACAACTCAACAACCACGTGCGGCGGCGGCGGTGGTGGAGGCAGTTAACGGTGGGGGGATAGTGGTGCTGGGGTGGTGGTAGCGGTGTGGTGGTGGTGGTAGCAGTGTGGTGGTGGTAGTGGTGGGGGGTAGTGGTGCTGGGATGGTGGTAGCGGTGTGGTAGTGGTGGTGGTGATGGGGGTGGGTGAGGGCAGTCCATCAGGCGGACATGTTACTCAGGGAAGCCTCCCCGCCCGCTGTGAACAACAATCGTGGGCGTGATGCCATCATCTATACTCGAATTAGTTTTTTTTTTGGGGGGGGGGGGGGGGTAGCGTAAATATTTAAACATCTCGTATTGTGGATAATATTGGACGCGAAAGCCTACGTGTTAATAAAATGATGCCATCAGTCGGCGAGCTAGTAATGTTAATAATTACATTTATATAGCGGATTTTTTTCCACAAAGGATCTCAAAGCGCTGTACATGACACAGCAGCAGACACTCGGCATAAAAAAATATATTATTAATAAATTTAAAATAATAATTGACTAAATTAAATAAAAGTACCGTTGGTGCTCACCAACCACCCCGTAGTAATATGGCCGCGGGACAACGCTCACGAATTCCGTCTCGTTAACAGCGCGTGCGGTGGTGGGTGGGGGGATGTTGGACCCTTGAAAGTATTCACAGTCACTGTTATTAGTCGACGTTTCGGGCAATGGTCCTTCATTGTGCATAGATTGGGGTGGGGTGGAGTGTAAGATTTGGAGACTTGCACCGTACACTGTGTGCGGTGCCTCATACATATTAAATAAGCAGTTTCTCGATAAAACACTTTTTTAGTAATGTAATTGGCAGGTGAATAAGTTATACACAGTGGCTGTTGAAGTAACTTCCTTAACCCTCTTCTTTGGTTCTTTCGGTAAAGTCACGTAGAATGAGAATAAAATAATAAATTGATAAAATAAAATAACACAATATTTATCAATTTATTATTTTATTCTCATTCTACGTGACTTTACCGAAAGAACCAAAGAAGATGAATCATTGCAGTCACGAAAGCTTTAAATCGAAATTCCTTAACCCTCTCAAATGATAACACAATTTCTCTGACGGCGATTCCCGCGCCAAATTAATTTATTTCTTCTCCGGATCGCACAATGCGATTCCTACTTTGCGTGCAAAGCGGACGGAGCAATCGATCCGTAATCGATGCGTTGTGAAAATCGGTCGAGAGGAATCGCTAACGAGGGGGTGTGGGGTGACGCGGAGGGCCCCCTGCAGTTTTAAGGCCCAAGCGGCGGCGGCGGCTCCTCCGTTACCATCGCGACCCCTCCACCTCCTCATCCACCTCCACCTCCTCGCGAGTTACCCCGCGCGTTACCCGTCTCGTTACCAGCATTCGGTGAGGATCAATCTTCAAACACCCGGCGGCTGCTGCTGCTGCTGCCGCCGCCGAGGGATGCGGCCGAGACTCCGGTCGGAGGCGTTAGGCCCTGGCCGGTAGCGGCCCGTCATCGCGAAACGAGGTGAGTGAAAGTCTCCCGACTCGCGTCTCGATGTGCACCGCTGAACGTGCGGTGGGTGGCGGATTTCTCAGTCCACTTCTGGGTGAGGACCTCCTCCTCGCCCGCCGCCTTGCGTGTCGCGGTGGCCGATGCAAGTTGCTCAGCAGTCCGTGCGTGCCGCGGCCAAAGGGGTTCAAGACGAACAACTCCGTGCCGTTCAGTGGCCCTATCCATGGCCCTCCGCTGCCCTTCCATCTCCGTAGGTCGCGCATCCACCCAGTACTCTCTCGCCTCTCCATCCCCGGCCTTTCCCAACTTTCCTTGGGCACACATTGTGGGCTCACGAAGTTGCGAGCCTTTAACTTGGCAACACTTCACAAGGCTGGTCAACGCGGCTCGCTGATGGTGGCGGCAGGGGAGCATAGAAGTACAGTAAATTAGCGGTGCATTTTCGCTGCATTAGCCCCCCCGGTGCCCGCTCTCCACGTAGCCCCGCAGCAACCTATAGCACCTGGCGGATGGTGGTCGCCTGTCCCCAAGCGCTATCCAGGCTCGAGGCTGCTTTCTGAGATTTGACGCATTGTTGCGCGTGATTTGGGCGATACCCTTCGTTTAATAATTCTAGTAGTGTTCACATGGGCAGGTCGCGCGTGATGGAGTACAGTGGTTGTGCCGCCCCGCCTATTCAAACACGGCCGTCCAGCGGGAAAGATCGAGCCAAAATACCCTCCAGGGCCTCTTCGAGTGGGGAGACCTTTCCACCAGCAGTGAGATGAGCACGGCATTGCGGCGCTGCACCCTTGTGTTTGCTGCTTGTTGCCGTTCACTTCTGCCGTTTTTGTGACCCCGATGTTGTGCGCAGGCAATGGCCGAGGAGTGCCGCCTGGAGGTTGCAGCCGAGGAGTGCGTGGTGAACATGGAGGGGTTTATAGTTATGGAGACCGAGCACGGCGACTCGCACAGGAGTGACGGTACGGAGTGCGTACGGGTAGGCGCTGGCGCGGTGGCCGATGGCCACCGAGCGCCCACGTTCGCTGTTGGCGGTGTGGACCCCGAGGCCACGTCACGGATGGAGCAGGAAGGCTCGGCGATGCGCACAGAGCAGGCAGACCACGCAGTCTACGCAACACAATCAGGACAACCAGATCAAACGGTCTACGCAACACGCACAGAGCAGGCAGACCACGCAGTCTACGCAACACAATCAGGACAACCAGATCAAACGGTCTACGGAACACGCATAGAGCAGGCAGACCACGCAGTCTACGCAACACAATCAGGACAACCAGATCAAACGGTCTACACAACACGCACAGAACAGGCAGACCACGCAATCTATGTAACACACTCGGAACAACCAATTCAGACAGACTACTCGGACCCAGAACAGTCAGACCACACAGTCTACCCAACGCACACAGAACAGGCAGTCCAGACAGCCTACCCAACAAAGTTGGAACAGGCAGACCAGACTGTCTACTCAACACACACGGAACAGGCAGACCAGACGGGCTACCCAACGAATCACGTGGGAGAGACGGGGCAGCCAGACCACGTTTCCAACATGGCCACGTTGTCCCATGCAACTAGCACAGACTACCTGGCCCACGCGAGCCAACCTCACGGGCACATCGAGGGCACAGCGCATACGCACAGCGCCGTACGCACAGATGGTGCCGTACTGGAGGACTGCGCGCACTCGGACAGCGCCGGCGCACAGGCGCACGCGGAGGGCGGCCTGGCCCAGGCAGGTGGGATGCTGGTGGATGGCAGCTCGGCGCACTCGGGCGTCGCGTACGCGGAGGGGCCGCTGCGTGCTGACGCGGTCGTGCACATGGACCTGCTGCACGCCGGCATCCTGCTGCAGGAGCAGGCGGCTGCGGTGGTGCAGGGCGGCCACGGGCCCGGCCTGGGTTCCACGGGGTTCGGCAGGGATGGAGGACCCGCCCCGGGGGAGGATGAGGAGGAGGGCCCTGCTCAGCTGACCCTGCTGCTGGGGGCCGGAGGGACGGACACGGGGAGCCCGGGGCCCCAGCACGCGAACCCAGGTGCGACCAGCTTGACGCGAGCGATAATCACTCCTGGGGATAAAGTTGTTTTGCGAGTGTGTTTCCTTGTTGCGCTGGTGGAATGGTTTTTGCGCACTGCGCTAAGAACCTGGCATCCTGGGTTTGATTCCTCGCCATGGGCTACAAACAGTAATGAGACAGATGGGAACTGTCTTGGTCTTTGCCAGGTCGACCTTAAACGAGTACCTGGTGTGGTGTGAATAAATATCAACGCCGGGGAGGCAAATGCAGCTGTGCATGTGGAGCTGATCACATCACCACTTCGTATACACCGTGCCGGTCTTAATAGGTGGTCACTAACAGCACTGGCCCGAACAATCTGTTAACGTCCGAAAAGGAGATCTTTGACTTTTCATGTGTGAGCAGGTGTCGTGAACAGCTTTGTGTTGTATAGGTCTCGTATGAGTGTTTTTTGTATGTTACGTGTCGTTTGTGCGGTTATCCTCCCTACACTGCTGTCCCCACAGGAGAGCCAGGCTTCATGGTGGAGCACGCTGCCCTCATGGTGGTGCAGCACTACCAGCAGGAGCCAACGCAGATGCAGCCCGGCCCCACCGCACAGCTCCTCGCGGGCGTCCCAGAGCCGGCGGCACCGCTGCCTGCGAACAGCGGACCCAGCGGCTCGGTGGAAGGGCAACAGCGGGGCGGTGCCGGCGGGGCGCTGGAATGCGGTCTGTGCGCGCAGAGGTTCGCGGAGCAGCGGCTGCTGGCGGCGCACGTGGCCAGCGCCCACCGCACAGAGAGCGGCTTCCAGTGCGAGGAGTGCGGCAAGCTGTTCACGCTCAAGTACTCGCTCAAAATCCACATGCGGCAGCACACGGGCGAGCGGCCGTACCGCTGCGAGCTGTGCGGCGAGACCTTCGCGCGTTCCTCCTCGCTGCTGCGGCACCGCGCGCTGCACACGGGCGAACGGCCCTACGTGTGCGACGTGTGCGGCAAGGCTTTCGCGCACTCGGAGAACCTCGCCATCCACCTGCGCATCCACGCGCCCGTCAAGCCGTTCGCCTGTGAGGAGTGCGGCAAGAGCTTCGCCACGGCCTCGTACCTCACCAAGCACCGGCTCATGCACACGGGCACCAAGCCCTTCCACTGCGACGCCTGCGGGAAGCAGTTCTCCTTCCGCACCAACCTCAACCACCACCGCCGCACCACGCACGCCGCACGCCCCTGTGAGTGGTGCCCACAAACGCACGGGTCTAGCACGCGCTTATCTCTCTCTCTTGTGCACCAAATCTCGCTCCCTGCTACCGTCCCTGAACGCGCCCAGGGTTCGCCAGTCGGATTCAATCGAGTCTCGTGATTTCCGTGTCGGCAGTGATTTTCCTTTCCTGCTAAAATGAGCGTCGAGGCATTGGTGCTCTTCTCCCATTTACAGCCCTGGACCAGTTGTGAAAATTCCACATTGATATGGCAGGGGCGAGTCTCCGCTGGACAAACCACTGTTGACTTTCCAAAAGGTGGTGCTAATAATTATTATTGGACCCCAGTGGAATGATGGGCCGTGTAAATCCCCAACCTGGATTTGAAGTTCCTCTGCAGCTGAGCCATTGGGGCTGT